TTCTTCTATTTGATTTCATTGTTATATATTCTGTATAAGTTGAGTATAAGACAAGAAGATCTGCTAACTTAACTGAGGAATAAAATCTATCCGTATACCACTTCCATTGAAATAGGCAAATGGCTATATTGAGGCTTGCTGATAATTGTTCCTTTCCCTGTATGTATTAGTGAAGACCGCATATACCCAGATTTGAATTCGCAAAAAAAGTAATTGTTTATTCCTAATTTGCCATATTTAATGGAAATGTATGGTACCCAACCCAATTTTCCTTTGTACAACATGAAACTTTCGTCAATTGTTACATGTTGTGGTGGTATATGTGCCTCTTGAAACGTATCGTTCAGAGGTAAGTACACCGGCCAAATTTTGTTCATTTTTGGGTGAGTAGCAGGGTCATAGGTGTGGTTATTTGAAAAATGGGGAAATAGAACGCAGGTACTGGCAAGATGTTTAAGTGGTTAAACTAAGATAAGATTTGTGACCACCATCTCTGTTAATAGTCTCGTTAAGGATGATATAGACAGTCATTAATTTAACAATTCTTTATTTAAGAACTTTCTATCCAACCGCAGAGTGTAGATATGTGTGCTCCACCAAAGCCTCATTACTACAATACAACGAATTAACGTTCTTGACAATACTACTCGCAGAGTAGTTTGAAGAGGTAGTTTGGACTTGTACTGGGTCTTTTTCCCTCCTGGGGTTATGTGACGATCACATAGTCTTTTCGAGGCAACCTGGTTCGCCAAACCATCACGCCAACAATTGGTAAGGTTGTAAAATACCAGGCAACGGTGAAAGATTCCTTACAGGTGAGGTATCAATTCTACCAAGCCACACAGTAGTAAGGTAGATACGATACCATTAAGTCGAGGGGCTTTGAACGGTGAATTTTTTATAGCCCACTTCTTTAGCTAACATTGGCCAGTCTTTACAGTCGGTTTGTAATCAGGATCTCGTTGTATAACTAGCGTCTTCCTAACGTAAATAGTACACAATCATTAGAAGGTATAACAATCATCATCCTTCTTTAGTAAACAGATTCGTCGTTCCGGGTCTAAAACTAGAACCATTCCAATTCCGCTTCCATCATCCGCTTTAGATGTGACATCTTCACATAATCTCCAAGTTTATCTTTTTCTAATGAATACTTTTTAAACCTCCAATAGTTTGCTTGTATAAGGATTTCAGTCGCATTCTAATTTAGACCTCTTAGTTCTGTTAAAGGTTGCTCACAGCTCCTCTAGGTTACTGAGTCCTGTGCTAATGGGTGGCATGTTTGAGTCAACTTCCAGTGGGGAGTGACCACTTTATAAAGTTATTAAGAAATCTATCAAAGTCATTAAAAATTTCTCAACATCACTGCTTATCTTGTGCTGAGTTAACCTTTCTGGTTATCTTTGAAAATTTTCCAATGTTTTTAATGCGTAAATTGCAAGTGATTTACCTGACATTGAAGTCCTGTCAACAGAAACCTTCCAATTTTGCATGGATCGAGGACAGAGTAATAATAACTGATTGGCCCCTGGCAATAAAAAAGATTGACTGTGAGCCTCAATTGCGTAAATCAAGATGATAACTGAAACTCAGCCTACAGCAAGAGTTCCGTTACCTTCTAATATGCGTTTATATTCTTTTAATTACCTGGATTACAATGTCATTCGTTTGTCGAAGTTTATAGGCATTAGATTTTATAGTGATAGGCTATATGAGAGTGATACTTGACGTACAGAGTTCTCTGTGTTGCGCGATATCGGCCAGGAGTGATTATTCGGTTTTTAGACAACGGTTAAGAAGCCTTTTAATTTTAGCAACCGTTTTATAAAATGGAAAACGTCTCGTTCGATATGTTTGTTAATAAAATTTGTAATTAATTAAGTAGTTATTCTACAGTGCTCTGAATTATGTTTACTTGTTGATGTTTATAATCATTTCGAATTCACAACCGGTGAAGTATACAAAAAATATTTCGTATAATTCGACCGCGATTTATTGTTGAATCCTCGGCCTCGCATTACAATCTTTCAACTTTAAAAGATAAACCATTGCGGCTTACGTATGCCCATAAATGTTATAAATTTGAAGCCAAATATCCGTAAAATATAGGTTAAGAGTATACACTCTGCCAAAAAATGGATATTCTTTTACATTTGGAATTAATTATAAAATAGAATATGCAGGGAAACTTTTTAATTGTATCAAATTAAATTTTTTTTAATACGTAAATCTTAAATTAAATTTAATTTCGATCAGTTATTTTTGTGATAAAATTATATTAATTCTCTAAATACGCACTAGAACTACGTGATAACACGAAATAGATCTCTTTAAAGACATTGAAACGAACATAAAAACACAAAAAAATTAGGAATCTTATTTGGTGTGTAGGGATGAAGTGAATAAGAAGAATAATAAGATGCCGAATAAAAAGAGGCGTGGTGGTTCCGATACGAAACACGCAAAGGGGTCTTCGAAAGGTGGTGGCGGCGGCGGAACATTAACAAATAATAAGACTGAAAAGAAACCAGTAAAGACTGACAAAAATAGACACGACCTTGATGACAATAAATCCAATACGGAACGTCGTCGTACTTATTCAAATAATAAAAAGACGAGTAACAACACCACCACCACCAACAACAGCAGCAGTAATTGTGATGAAGTAGATGCAACGGTTACAATTCGACATGATGTCGTAGTTAACTTAAATAATAGAACCGCGATAGTCTCGGATGTGAAACGTTATAGTGATAGCTTCATCCAAGCAGGTTGTAATAAAATTGACAAGATCGATGGCAATTTGTCAAGATCGCGTAGCGGATTTTTAACAGATGACGATAAGGAGTCACCGAAAAGTGACAAATCTGACAGAAAGTCCAGAAGATTTAGCGATATATTTCGGTACGGGGCATATCGTACGGATTTGGACGTAATTAAGAATCAAGAGGAACGGAAGAAGATGATCTCATCTTCTTCTGGCGATACAAAAAAAGGAAAAATTAATAATACCGTCAAATCGGCAACCGGTAACAGGAATTTAGCGATGGTCGGAGGTACCCCAAATAAACCCGAAAAAACTCTCTCTACCTGTTCCGATAGCAACAACTCGTATCTGAAACGGGTCAAGTCGAAAATATGTCGGACGAGAACGGACGATCCATCGACGATATACGAAAACGATGAGAACTTAAAACAGAGAAACAACTTGCGAAGTTCGGTTTCGCATTTTGATTTTAGACTCATTCGACAAACATCGAATTTGGAAAAAGTTGTTAGACCTAGCGTTTTAGGTCACAAAAAGTGCGCGTCGAATGTTGGCGTTGGTGAAACGATCAGCGACGAGAAGCCCGTTCTCGCCAAATCGAAATCGAGCAGTGCCATCAATTTGGGATTGTTGAGGACTCGTCGTAATAAAATCTTGGAACAGATCAAGAAAAACGTTAAACCGGCCGAAAACGAATTCGATTTTATTGCATTTACAAGATCTCACCGTGATAAGAACGATTTTATTGAGGAATCTGTTCAAACTACACTGCCAAAAACTACTTCTTCAGGTAACAATTTTGTATTATTCTAAATTTCATTACAAAAAATCAATCGTTTCATTCAAGCTAATAAAGTAATCGATTTTTAAGAGAACATTTTTTGATGAATTCGAAATCATAATTTTAATGTTTACTCAGTTCATTTTAAGTATTTCATTTTTATCTTTAAGTACTATAGTAGACAATTATTTAGAAAGTGTTTGTTTAGCATTTTAAATATTGATAAAAGTACCTACTTCAAATTTTCGAATAAACATATGAAGTGGATCTCAAAAAATACAGAATTGATCATCGTTAAGTTTAACAACCAAAAAAATGTATGAATTATGTTCTTATGTAAAAAACTGGTTTCTTATTGAATCACGTTTGTATCGCCTTTTTTATCCAACATTTTATTTCTGTTTTATGACTCATTTAGCTTCAATGTTTGTTGTGAATGTTAACGTTACATTATAAAAATTAGTTAATTTGCATTCTATTTTTTTATCTTGAATAATTTAAGTATTATTTAAAAAATGTTTGTTGTTTGTTCGAAATGTATGTTATTTGCTGCTTTTTCGTTTTCTTATTGTACCGACTTTAATTAATTTATTCTTGGCCTTTATTTTTTGTCCCTGCGATGATCCCTTCATTTAAGTGGTTAATTGGTTCCAGGAACTCGCTTGTTAATGAAAATTCTCTTAACCGGGACCCAATGATGGGTTTCCTTGGGCGATGAAATGAACCCGATGGTAGGTCAAAGCAATAAAGCTTCAGGTATTTCGTAATTGGAAACCGCGTAAATGGGGGGATCATTGTACTTTTAATATTCACTATTTTACACGTTATTCATTTCTGCGATATTGTAACTGAATCCGAAAAAAAATGAGTTAAGTATATTAATTATAATAGACGTCAAAAATTGCCACCGATCAAATTTTAGATAAATAAATAGTCAGAAAAGGAATTTAGATGTTCAAATTATAGATTATCAAAACAACATATCGTTACTTGAGAATCAAGTCCCTTTTAATTTGAATTTAAACGTTAGCAGATCCTTATCGTTGGTTTTGACTACTAGGCTATGTCTAAATTCATGTTAACATTAGTGATATCAAGTCCTATGTCACGTGGTTACTTGCTCAGTTATCATTGGTACAATACTTGGTACAACAATTGCACATAGTAAGATTGTGTTTTGGATATAGTTCAAAATAATTCTCAGGTGACGATATGTCACAATATCCAATGTATGCCACAATTTTCTTCAGAACATATTATTTCTAACAAAAGTACCGTTTCAAATACAATTCAAATCACAATTTTAAACATAAGTTCACTACTACATCCATATTGAGATGACTAATCTGCAACTTTCAGTTCTTGCATTAACATCTAGTTTTTCTAAGTATCTATTTTGTTTGGAGTTGTGATGGAAAATACATTGTCCAAATAATGTTCAATCATTTTATAACTTGTTCAAATAGAGATATTTGTGGAAGCAATTTTTCTAATCTGAAAATCTACAGCTCGCCATGGTATACTGGTTTATACTAGGCATACTTCTCTGGATCTTGTGCAATAAATAACATACTGAGAATTAACTGAGTACAGTAATGCTTATATGATCTTTTTTCGGAAAGTTTTGATTTATTCATTAGAATGACTATTTGTCATGTTGTCCCATAACATGTGGAATGTTTCCAAATAGAACAGGATTTGTTGGTTTTCCTTTATTTCTTCGTTCTGTTACGCCATCTTCCGTTGAGTAGTAGGTAGTGCTCATGACTGACACTGTTTGATAAAATGAGTGCGAAAACACTGTCTTAATTACAGTCAGTATTGAAAATATTTTGGGAAAGTTTATCTACGACTCTCATTGTTAAGTTTCTAGTTTACTGGTACAAATAATCTTGTAGTCGTTTTCCCACCTTCGCTAAATTCAAATTTGACTACAATGGTTATGACTATAATGTTGTGTGTCTGCGTTTATTTTGTTACATGTTGAATTTTTAAAACATTTATGTTTGGATAAACATATGATTTTTTGGTCGCTTCGGGCAGAACTTGTTTATATTAATTGTTGATTATGCTAAAACAAAAATTTTATGGAAAGTAGTTTCGTGTGTTTATTTATAAGCAAAATTAAGGCAGAAAACATAAGCAGAGTTTCAATTAATGGTTGTTTCATAACATTAAGTAAGCACGTTTCGCAGTCATATTTGAATCTTCTTGGCATCTGTTTGTATATTAACCACGATTTTTGGAAAAACAGATTGTTCTGATTTATTGTTGCTCTACAAAATTTTATGCTTCTTTCCTTCATATTTAATTTCTAATTTAGATATAATATCAAAAACTTCAAACTGAAATTTGTGAAAATTATCGGAATTGTAATCTCACTCTATGCACCAGTTCCGCTTCCGGAAGTTCAATCTTACAGAGCACTCTTACAAGTACACAGCAACCCCAAATATTTTTTCGCTAGCTTAATTATTTCAGATTAGCTATCTAACAAAGCTGATTTTCTTAATATAAAAACTTTAATCAAAAGCAATCTCTTAAAATAGCGATGGTTAATGAAGGATTAGAATAAGAAAATAGTTAAATTACCGTATTGTCAGAATAAGATTGTAAAATTGTTAATAAATTCCATAAACTGGAAAATAGGCTTAGAAGATGGTTAAAAAACGAAACCTGTCGAATTGATAAATTACGAATAAATAAATTTTAAACCTTAGATATGTATTCTGTTTTACGGTTCTGTTACATATCTTCCAAATTTCCATTTGAGCAAGAAAATGCTTTGCTTTTACCCTTTTTGATTTTTAAGCTAGTTAACTCAATAAATATTTTATTTATATATTTAAATAAAGACTTAGCGTTCTCTATTTTTCTCAAACAATATTTTTTCCTTCAAAGCTACCATTAGGGACATAGTTACAAATAACCGTTCTTCGAGACCTTTGACCCCGCATAAAAATTTATCGCTAGAGGGATCGATGAAGTATACCGAAATCCAGCTTGCCAGATTTTTTTTCCATAATGCAATTTCTTTTATGATACGACGAGTAGACGTCTTGGCCATGAAAAATTTAATAATATCGAACTCCCTTTACCCACAAATTTGATTTTAAATTGGTATATTGAATCGTTAGCTAATCGCTTATAATCTCAGAGGTATGATATGTCTAAGCTTTTAAACGACTCTTTTAACCCTTATAATATCACAATTTATTACTCGTAATCGAATATGTACAAATAAAAGGCATGTCCCCAAAAACATAGACACGTTATTTGAAACAATTATATGTTATTGACGAAATGACTAAAATACAAGAATATGAAACAGCAGAGAAAATAACAGTCAGTGAACAAGAGCTGGAAAGAATTAGTTAATTTTATTCAACCATATCCTGGAAATTATACAGGAGGTGTCGTCCTTGAATTTGGGCTGCAGAATGAGTAAGGTTAAAATCAGTAGGACACCCAGATGCTGCGTCATCTCATGTTAAAACTCATGGCATCCAAAGACAGGTCTTTAAATTCTAACAAGTAAGCCAACAAGTGAACCTGACTATATCCATCAATAAAACAATAATCTTGACAATCGCCAATGTACCAGTTAGAAACAAACTTGTGGTAGAAAACCAGTTAGCCAGTTCAAATATCAAATATCTATGCTTTGATATCTCCAGCTGTCATAACCCAGCAAAAGACTTAAGAAAACAGATCATTAATTTCAAATCTCTATCAGGATACTTAAGATATTTCGTTTGGTCAAACCTATCCATGTAAATGGACGGCAAGATAGGAATTTATAGAACTTGCATAAGTCGTGCAATGACACTGATGACATACGGCGACATTTCTACCAGGATGTTTAAGAGAGATTGTTTGGTCAAATTAATACATGTCTGTACTTGTCTGTTATAAGGACAGCAAGATAAAAAACCTGCATAAGGCCCATTATGACATACGGAATAAAAACATGCGAAGATATGACACTATGCTAAGAATTGCCGAAATGAAAACGTTGCGAACTATTCTGGGGAAGATTAGAAGTAACCAAATAAGAAACATATACATCAGGGAACGTTATGATATACATACTAGATATGATAAGAGGGGGGACACAAAGAAGAACATGTTGGTAAGGTCATGTGAAGAGGATGAATCCCAAAAGATAGAAGAACAGTTGGAAGTCCACACCACAAGAAACACTTCGGCTATAAATTCAGAATTTAACAGATTAACAGGTCCAAAACAAGTGAAAGAAGAATTAGTGAAATAATGACAAAATGAATGTATGAATAGTATATACATATTATCAAAATAACGTAACTGAGGGGTCTTAATCGTTTTAATAATAAATAAAATTACTAAATTAAATGAATAAATAAAAAATTAAAATTAAGTTAAATGTTCAAATTGTGCACCCTGGGTAGCTTCACAGTAATCTAAATGAGTTTTTAAATTTTTCATGACAATTCCCGAAGATATCAGGAATTATTCGTTGAATTTCTCCTCGGATTCTGATTTTTAGTTCATCCAAAGTATTTGGTCTAGTGGTCTTAATATTACTCTTCAGAAATCCGCAAAGGAAGAACTCCAGCTGAGTTTATTCTAGTGATCTTGTAAGCCACTGAATTGGCCCTCTTCTCTCCAATCCATCGATTAAGAAATAATTGGTTCAAATAAGTTTGAGCAGGAACGGTATAGTGTGGTGGCGCGCCATGCCGTTGGAATTGATTGGATTAACATTATCGGTAATGTTATGAATGACAGGAATGAGATCGTTTTGTAAAAAATCTAAATATCTCTGTCCAGTTAAGGTTCTCTCAAAAAAGTAATAGCCTATGATAGTTTCCGTACTATTTTGCACCACACATTGATGTTTTGCGGATATTAGGTGTATGACTCTCTTGTCAAATGTGGATTTTAGATAGCCCAATACCGACAATTTTGTCTATTATACTTGTGCACTCACAGTAAATGTTGCCTCGTCTGAAAGAATTATGTTTTTGACGAAGTCTTCGTCGTTGTTGCAAAATTATTGCAACCGTTCACAAAATTGTGCTTTTATATCAAAATCATCTTCATTAAGTTTGTGAATAACGTTTACTAAGCAATGATTGACTAATGTCCAGATTCGACCCATTATCCCTCACAGTAACATGAGGATTTTTGTGAACAGCCAAAACAGTTTTGTTGAACCTCCCCTGAAACATTTGTTCGGGCAGACTTCGAGAGATCTTTTATATGCCCATGATTTTTAAATTTAGTCATATCTCGGCTTATCATACAATGGGTTGGTAATCACGATATGTTGCATGGAAGAGTCAATTTCTTATCTTTCCAGTTAGGACAAATTTAAAATTACCCAGACCCGTTTCAGGGATTTTCCATAAATGATTTAATATGATTTTATCGCCTATATCCCTTACTTTACGGACGCATAGTACATTTATGTCTGTATAGCTTTGTTTTTTAGTGAACAATAAATGATTTCTTCTGATTTATATCAAAATTCGTTAATTTTAATAAATCACTAATCAACAATTAGTTAAAATGCTTATATTGTTATAACATTAACAAATGTATTTACGCCCTATATAACTTAGCTTTTTTAATGTAATTTCACTAAATAAATTTTGTACGATATATGATTTGTTCTGATTTATTTGAACATTCGTTTATTTTAACACATTTCTACAGTTAAAACGGTATAAAGTTAAAACGTTTTGGCAATAAATATTTAAAATTTTGTTGCAAACATTCGACAAAACCCACTTTAAGGTTTTCATTAGCTTTGTTATTATTATAATTAAATTTAAAAAAATGACTTAAAATCTACTAAATATAAAGAATGATGAGACCTTAATACTTATTAATTTCATTTTTAGATTAACATATTTTACTGCTTCGTGTGAGTGTGTTATAATCTACGAGGTGACTCAACTTTGTTGTCCCCCTTTTATTTCTAAAGCTTCTTCTTTTCATACAAGCCGTGTGATCTAATTACACTAAGTGAATACTATTTAGGTTACTCGTTAAAAGACAATGTACCTGACTCAATTATAAATTATTTATTATCATGTTAGAAAACGTAATAAAGAATGTGATTTTTTTTTCGTAAAAATCAATTGATTACAAACGTGTCTATTGAATTCAATTTTGTTTTTATGCAAACGATTCGTCCTTTTCAATTCGCTTCTTCAACCTTTAGCTTTTACAGATGTCTTGTTTACGTTTAAACGACAACCGACCTTGTACCATTTGATTTTCGAGCTGTTTAAATTATGCTTTAACTAAAGTTGGGAAAGATGATATTAAAAAAATGTTACAGTTGAAATAATTTGTTATAAATTATGATTTATGATTTCTAGTTATAATTTATTACTTTATAATAAATTATTTTGAAAACTATTTCGGTAATGCCAAAAGGTATGACGCTCGTACTGCCAGTCAATATTAACTATTTTTAGGTCGCTGCACTCACCATCCTCCCAACTGTAAAAGCAAACCCCGAACTAGACTTAAATGTTAAAAGTCTCACGATCAAGACCAAGCAGTATGATTTATATTTAACGATTTATACGTTGTGTCGTATATAGGATATTTAATCTAAAAATAAGTTTAATAAATTCAATTTCCGATATTTAATAACTTCAAAATAATCTAATGACCTCCCTTCTGACGATCAAGCATCTGCTACCAAAAATTGTACAGATGACTATCATTGAACCCATTTCCGGTACCTTGTTTATACGAACGAACTTTTTATCGTATATTCTCACCCGGAAGTTTAACAAAGAAGTATTTCCGGACACCTGTATTCGCTTCTTTTGTACTTGCAATCGTAATGCCAAATTGAAAGTTGTGAGTTTGAAATTTAATTCAATTAGCCTTATTAATCAATTAAATTTAATATTTCTTTGAAATCGAATTTGTAGATAACATTTTAAATTGATTACTCAGTTTTTAATAATTGTAATAAAACACTGTTTAAGATAAATATTTTGGAGTACCCAATGTTGAAATATAAGTTGAAAAACTATTATCAAGAAATTATTATCTCATTACCGCTGTGTGCGGTTTGTGTCATTTCCTAATGGGATCAGTTGACCTCTGAATGTGGTAGCTGAAAGTAGTGCAAAAAGTGTTAACTTTTCTTTTTACCATCTAAAAAGATGTATATCTTGGCTTCTAGAAATTGTACGTGTTCAACAATTTATTTATGTTTTTAATGTGTTTCTCCTTGGTTTTAAACACGCTTACTATTTTCATTTAATATTAAGGTCTTATTTTGTCATATTTGTGCCAAGTTTACAGTTGTGGTTATCTCAAAAAGAAATCTTGCTAAAATGATTCTTTTTTTGCTTTTATTATCTATTTCTTAATCATCACGCACCATATTTTTTACCACAAAACTAATTTTATGTTTATTTGATTTAAAGGTGATATGAAACCGAATCAATCTTTAACTAGAACAGATTCGGATCGTAGACCGGACGCAAAGAACGAAAACACGAGTCAAGGAAGTCAAGAACATATTCAAAATGACGAAGAATCTGTAACTACAATGGAAAAGTAAGTAAATTTTTTTAATTAATTCTGCAGAGAAAATTAAATCATTTATATTCTACAAACAGTCGGCATTTTGTTATTATACGTGGACGACGATTGAAGAAAGTTAATGTCGCGTACGATTTTCGTACCGCAAATGGCACCGATTATGTCATATGTAAACTATTTATGACCGGTAAAGTAACAAGCCTTGACCGGGCTTGATCGTGGTTTATTGCTTCTATTCAATTTCTTTGAACAAAAATCGTTTCGTTTACACAAAAGGCTCGTTTTAAAATAGAAACCTTATCGAATTGAAACATTTTTTGGTGTTTTTAGAAAACATTAACGTAATTATCATAAAAATTTACTAAAATATTTCTACATAATCTACAAAACAATAAAAAATCGATGATATCGAATTTCCTGGAAGTTTTTTTTGAGAAATGATATCCTAAGAATTTGATTGTTACGCGAATTTATTTCGTTCTCGTTCTTAAAACAAATCTTATAAAACATTGGAATAAATTTTTATTTTTGCAATGGTTCAATCGTTAACGAAGGTTTAAAATAAAATCCTGCATTTAGTATTTATCAGCACAGACAAAGGTGAAAAATTTGCGTAGATTAAACCTGCTAAAAATAAATGATTAAATATTTAAAGCTTATTGTTCGACATATATTATTTTGTGGTTTAAAATCACGTTCGAAAATCTTGTCGTTTAGATAACTCTTTGTACACATTTCTGCGTTACCAAAAATAGAAATATGGGAATTACGAATTAGCACAGAAATTAAATGTTTGAAAATATGGTTCTATTTAAAAAATAAATGAACATCAACAAATGCTAATTAGAATATTCCAAATTTGTACATCATAAAACAGACTCACACAGTTAGCAAGCATCACTTCGGAGCTAGAGGTAAGAATGAGAATATGATATCTTGGAAGCAACATATCATCGGCTACTTACATGTGCAACAACATAGAAAACTTCCATTTGGTGTCGACTACCATAAGTCATAATATACACACACAATGCCATATGATGGCAGCTTAGACTTTTACAACTTTTCCCATATCCTACTATTTAACTCGGAAACTTCAATAGCTACCATTCCCTTTGGAAGTATAAATAAAACGATAAAAATGATAATTTAAGTCTTATATCCATGACAAGGAAACATCCTACGACCTAGATGTCCTAGATAACTTCAAGAAAGCGGGATTTCTTTGAAGAACTTGACAAGATAATAAGTTAGATACCTACCGTCTCTGAGCGAGAACTACGATAGGTTCGTGAAAGCAGTTATAACAATAGCTAAGAAGACAAATTTCTAGAGGATACCGGAAAAAATTCATTCTCGGGTGGGATTATGAATGTATAGACAGCTATATCAAGTTTACATGGACTCTGAGGATTTAACAAAAGGTGATGAGTTACTTCAAAATCTTGAAAAATAACGTTGATATCACTGAATTTCGAAAATTTAAGCAGAGAAGCTTGCAGTCTTCAAAAGAAGTTGAGCGAGATTACTCACGTAAAACTTCACTGGTGACTCCAAATCAAATCTCAAGTAGAATAATATCACTATCCAGAGCTCCTCGCAACCTACAACATATGAAGGAGACCAAATGTAGCAAAATACACCTACCACCTCTCAGTTTTCAGAAGAATTTACAACAACTGAACTAAGATATGCAGTGAAAAATATTAAATCAGGTAAAGCCCTCTGTTTTTATGAGATACTGCATTTATCGTTTATCTTGGACGGGAAAGCCTTTGGTGGTAAGTTCTATACTTACATTGACAGGTCGTCTACCGATGGCTTTCAAGAGATCCAAAATAATAGCCATTTTAAAACCGAATAAACCTGTGGAGCAGGTCGAAAGTTATCGTCCTATCGCATTATTGAGTTGCTGCTACAAGCTTCTCGGAAGGCTTATCCTAATCAGGATTAGTCCCAAAAAAGCTGCAGCGACCAGGTGCTTAGCCTTACACAATGGAGGAATGAGATTACGGATATGTGATTCCTGTTCAATGTGACAAGTAAAACAGGAATAAATGAAGAAAATTTCCTCAACAAGAAAACTGACACTCCACAAAAAACAATTTTTGGTTATCAGTTTTAAATACACAATAGTCATACAATCAAGCGGTACTAAAATATATTAATTAATATTTTTTGGGCATTTATAAAATAATTTCTTTTTTTATCAAATCAAATCCGCATTTAATACAATATTGAATAGTGGTAGTCAACAATAATTATAAGTAACATTACCTGAAGGCTACTCAAATTTAAATTTTCGACTTTATCTTTTTTTGAGTATCTTTATAGTATTGAAGCGCTACTTACTCGTTTAATAACTACGATCATTTAATGCTGAAGCTAAGATAAATGGGCCTAGAATACCAATCCTGTACAACATCGTGAACAAGCCAAGGAATCATCATTTCAGCCCAAAAGTCATTGATTTTGGCACAAGTCGAATTTTAAAATGTAGATCATTATTTTGATCTTCATAATTTCAAAATGCATAGATCTTCTAAACAGCTCAAAATGTTTTATAGGTTTTATACAAACTTAACTTATGAATTTATAAATATCAGCTTCTATAAAGGTCCATAACATACGTTTCTGCCAACAAGCCACAGCGTTCATATTCATTCATATTTATACATTATATTCTTTGGGGTAAATACGAATTTGAATTTTGTACTATTTTTCTGCTATATACTTGTGTCAAACTGCTTATTGGGCGATTTGTAATTCCTTAAATTGGAGTGTACAATTTGGTTCATCTATGTTTTTAACATTCTTTAAATTTCGTCATATTTTTGATCTAGTCAAAGTTGTCTAAAATAAAGTCGATTTTATCATGACAATTAATTCTGTAATATTGATATTTTGAGAAGATAGTTATAATTATAAGGAATTATAACCAAACATAATGCAAAGCAACGTAAAATAGTTTCTTAGGAAGTATACTAATGGTGCTTAACATGTACCAATGAATCATGGACACTCCAAGATAAACAAGAAGGAAAGATCACAACAATGGGAATGAAATTTTTACGGAAAATAGTGGGGAAGACGAATTAGTTCAGGATAAGGAATGAGGAAATAAGACTGGGAGTAGGTCAAGAGGGGATAATCGGCTAAATAGAGAGAAAGCAACTAAATTGGTACGCCCACATAAGTAGAATGGAAGATAACACAATAGTAAAAAAGGTATTTGAAGCAAAGAATAAGGATAAGAAAAAGGGGGGAAGGCCTAGGAAGAAGTGGGATGAAAGAATAGCAGAAGTTAGAAAGAAGATAGGGAAGACTCTAGCAAATATAAAGGAATTAGTCAGAAACCGGAGGGAGTGGTAGAAGTAGATGGAGGAATAAGAAAAGATTTATCCGACGCCATCAGGCATAAAGATCAGGAGAAGAAGAAGAAGATTAATGGTGCTATATGTAACTATTTCCTGTATTTTTGTCAAATGTGGTACTAATAATGGTATTACGAGTGATGCATTGCCTGAATAGGGATAAATATATGCTTAATCTTACATTCGTACAGGGTTGTGTAAATACAAGTCATGGTTTTTGTTTGAGAAATGAAATGTTTTTGACAATTTTTGACAAACACATTTCTTCTTGCGCAGTCTCGTCTTTCAGACTTCATTTCAGTCCTATCTTAGCTTTCGTTTCAATTACTTCTTACTGGGCTAATTGCAATTACTTATTATCTATCCTGCTAAAACAGTATAAACTTATGAGCATAAAACTGAAGAACCTAAACTGCAACTAAAGAAACGGTACTGAAGTAAATGAAGAAATAAGTCAATACGAACACAATGAAAGTAGAGTGTTGTTTTTCCCTTCAGTGATGGAAATCTCGAAGATAAAGGAGAAATATTTGGTAAATATTTTGACAAATAACGCAAACAATGTAAAACATCTGTAAATATGCCTAAGGCTAGAATGAATGGTGTGATATAAATTGCGAAGTTTTGCACATTTGTGATGGAGACATTGAGATTTTAATTTGGTTGGATTTGTGCATATTTTTCCCATTAATATTACAACAAAATCAATTATTTAATATCACGAAATCATTTTCAGATGGTACTGAAATTACAGAAAAGAAAGTGCCATTTTGCCGCTAATAGACCTTTTGATACAAAATTTCCAAAAACCTGTTGTTCCTCAAGAGCACGCATAGATGAGACATTTGTTTGGAATTAAATTATATAAATTAGGCATAATTTATTTTTGAAAGAACGAAATCCCGAACCATTCCTCTTCTAAAAAAGTAGCGCTTTCTTACTATATGATTATAATTGATCTATAATTATTAACCTTAAGAAACACTACTTAACTGAATCCAAAAGATGTTATAAGCGAACAGCTTAAAAAAGGAGAAACTGGTTACCGACGTAAACACTTTACCTCAGCGTGTAATCGTAAAGAATATTCAAAAGCCTGCAGTTGTACTTGATTACAACGAACATAAAATATATATCGATTTGTCGGACCAAATGAGAGCCTACAAGACGTCATTACGTAAAGACGTAAAGCGGTTAAGTGGTACCGAAAGCTAGCAATTGAACTGATTATGGGTGCTGCGCTGGTAAATGCGTGCATTCTACACCAAGAAGAGGCAAATGAAAAATGTCAATTACAGCGTTCAAAGAATAATTTGTATTAAGGCTAACGAAATTAGAACTGAAAGGAATAAAAACTGATGAACAAGGAGAACATACCCCAAATTATAAATACATCCATAAATTCATTTACAGTTTCATTGTTTGCAAACCACAAAACTTATAGGCGTGGGATTTATATTTCGACTCATAGTAATTAAGACCATGTTAAGTTTCTAGTACTCTATGAATAAAACCTTCTGATATTCAAAAAAATGATTTGGGGGGGCTTCTCGTGATTATGCCAATCATTTGCCCATGCATCATGTGTGACTTAATAAGATATAAAATTCTGGAAAATTGTGTATATTCCAAGTAGCTATTATTTTTTTATGAAATCGTTCTTTTTCCGGGTTTAGCCACTGACTAATGATTCAAGAATCTTATTGAAAAGTTTGTTTGGATATTCATGAGAGCAGATATTTACTACGCCAACGTTCCATCAATTTTGATGGACTTTGCTTATAAATAAGTCGTAAAAACATACTACTATATTTTTGTTATAACAAAAATATTTCTCTGAATTTTAAAGATTAAAAGAAAGCACTATTAAAAGTTTATGTCAAAAGTATTTTTAATTTCTGAGAAATAAATTGTGATATTACGACAGTTTCACAACTTAATTAAGAAGAAAACATTATCAATTATTTTTAGAAATAACTGATATCTTCATTTATTAATAAAAAGGAGTTATTTAGGTTGCATAATCTAAACGTAATATAATTGCTAAAAAGTAAAAAAAAATACATAAAGGATTATAAAATTAATAAAATAAATAAATTAATTATAAAATAATTAGATAATTAATTTTTTTTAATTAAGTAAAATTCTTAAACGCTTTTTACATCTTTATTTTGGAATGAAATCATCAGTGTTTTATCAATTAGTAACCGTTTTATTTATAATTGACAATTTACACTAGATAACTCACCTTCACATTAAACTTAATCAGTTTTAGAATAATTTTTGCATATTCAAGTTCGTTTCTGCCTAAATGATCGGTACATGCTTTTACTTATAAAAAACATCTTCATACATCAACAAATAATTAATTTAGAACACGTTTTATCAAGTTACAATGAATCTGTGAAAGTCGAAGAATTTCTTTTGGCAGATTAACGCAAAAAAAAAAAAATAATTTGAGAATTTGGATCATGGGCGTTTCGTACTAGTTTAAAACTTAAACGCGCGATTAGATAACCGGCAAACGAACACATTCGATATATTTATAGATTAGATGTATGGTCAGATCGTAATGACAACCACGTAGATGTATAATAAAAACACAATGTGACGGTTTAGTCTTGTATTTTGAGTGCAGTTCTTCCACCATCAAGTTCATCAAGGTTTTCTCCCATTTCGATACAATATGGACCATCTACCAAGTTTTTTGGGTAATAAAAAGCAGCAGAAAAAATTGTCACGTAAAGATAGGTTAGAACTTATATATTTTTAATACATAAAAACACAAGCTATCAAAAAGTAAATTGTAAATTATCCAGTATTACTACATAGTAAAGATAATTTTTTTAATTTTTTTTATTAAATCTAATAGAATTAGCCATTTTAAGACATTTCGTCATTATACTATATTATCTTATCTTTTCACACAATAATTACGTCGTCGCAAATTTTTTTATATTTAAAATACACGTTATTTTAATAGAACATCCGGTTTAAATTTTTAATATGTTATTTTGTTACGTTAAATCCGAACGTCACGAATACATAAAGCTTCATTTAATTGATCATAAAATAACGTGGTTACAGCGTTAACTTGTAATAAAAAAAGATAAAATTATCATGCTAAGTTTGATATATACTAACGAAAACTATGAATTTAACCACATTTAAATTTCATCGTAGGAAATAATTATGTTTTTATTGTTTTCAGCACGAAAAGTCTTCCGCCGTTTACTGACAAAAAGAAAAATGCAAGTTCAATTAATCGATCGGAAAGTGTAAAAGAATCGTCAGATAAGGTAATTTCTTTACATCATCTTCTAATTGTTGAAAATAGTCTGTACTTTATCGTTTCTTTTTAATTAGCAAAAGAACGAAAGGAAACAACAAAGGCGGAATATTAGTGATCCACTTCATAATACCAGGTTAGTATTTAACTTTTTTTTATTATTACGTAGTCCTAAATAGATGAATTACGTAAATATTATAGATTACGAGCATCTATTACTTTTCTAAAAAATCTAGATAAGCCTATTATAAACTTTATCTACTTTTTTTTCTTGTAGTGAATCGGGAACTATTGATTCGAACGATTTGCCATGGTCCGGAAGTACAGGAAGTTCATCAAACACAAGCATTAATTCAAATTCTAGGTAAATATTTTACGATTACACTAACAATAAGGTTTATTCGCTCGATGATCTAATTTATGACGTATAAGTATAGTTTAAGGTTAAATAATATTTTTCTTATCTAACATCGTTATTATGAATTATTGAAGTTTAAATGAGATTGAAATTCTTTATGACAAATAGTGAGTAATAGATAAAAAAAACTTGTAACAAAATTTTTTTAGTTTCCTAGATGAAATTTACTTTCAAATCAAGACTATCGCGGCCTAAACCAGGGTGTTGGCTGATTTCGCAATTTTGTTCAGTTTTAATATCAATGTCGCTCGGTTATCGATTATCTAGGAAACTAAAAATCTTCTACTACATTTTTTTTCGCCTATTAGTCATTACTTGTCATGAGAAATAAGTTCCGAAGTTTACGCGTACAGGTTGAGAGTCACCTTGTATGTTGACTCACAAAAGTCTTAAATACGAGTTAAAACTGTATCGTATACAAAATCGTTTAAACAAAATAAAGAAAAAAAAACATTGTTGGATAGAAAGTTATTATTAACAAAAAGTAAATACTATTAAAAGAAGTTATTTAAGAAAAAAGTTGAAGAAACAGTTGTGTACAAACTACAACATGCAGAAAATCTAAAGAAGGGTGTCTGCACTAATATTTTGTTGGGCCTCGTTTTGATTTACTCACATAGAGCAAGATTTTTACAAAAATCATTTTTAATTTCCCGTCATGGTTTGTTAAAAGATTCCTTTAACGATGCTCTATTACTAATCTTGTTTTTCATGTTTGGTTTTCGAATTTGACAATCAAGTTCTTCCCAAGTATAGAACAACCAATGCTTCAAATCTGGAGTTGTTAACTGCGGGGCATTGTTGTTCTGGAAGATTTCGTTTTTTTTTTCGAAGTCAAGATGACGTCGTACCCTTTTCTGCAAACTATCTCCTAAAATGTCGATTAATTTGCTATGATTTATCTGAAATCGCGCCATCACTTTATTTTCTTGTGTCCTCACATCGCGCGGCAGCAACATCTGGCATTCACAGGACACAATTCTGCCTCACGCAAGTTTGGACTCCTTTTCCCTCTTTTCTTGCCTATATCTCAACCTCCTCTCCCTAATTTCCCTCTAGCACTCCCGCAAGATCCTGCATTGGGGTCTTCTTTCTATACTTTACTGCTCTTCTCCCAGCTTCCACCGTTATTCTATCCACCTTAACCTATGTGTGTATTAATATATGTGCCAAAAAATTTGAGCTCAATTAACTAATTACAAAAATGTTGTGAAAACTTTAAAATACAAGTATTTACATTTAATTTGATATAATCATAAAGGCGTTCTTCCTACAGGTCGTACATATCATGCAAATTTGCCTTTTCGTCTCTATGATATATAGCGTATTCCTGCTCGCCTAATGCGGATCTTATTGCAATTTTACTTGTTGATTCATTTTTACTCCCGTTGCATCCACAATCTTCAAAACTCGTATAAATCCGTTATTAAAAATAGTAACAGCCAAAAAAGTTACACCTTCAATTATTATCGTTTAAATGTTTCGGAGTGAAATTCCATATTAATTTTTTAACCACTCACAATCAGTGTTATTTTGCGATTCTGCATCCAAGCAACGTTCAAGCAGCTCATCATCAATCATAAGTCTTGACATATGAGCTTTAATTTCTCTAAAACCTGTAAATTCAGCGTGGACTTGACGAAAACTGTTAAATATGCCGACGTATTTGGGTTTATGCCACTTACTCGAACCAGCCCTCTGGATAGATTTGATGGTGTGGGTTTTCATTTGTGGAACTTTTAGTAGTACTCTGCTAAAATTTCCTTTTTTATATCTACCACAGACTCAAAATGTTTCCGGATAATATGGTAATATGGGTGACCATATTATTCTTGCAAAAATATTGTGTATAAAAAATTTATTTACACTTTGTTTATTCTACTGAGCACTCGTCTTGATTGACTCATCATATCTTCTTATACCGAAAGCCTTATGTTATCCATAACTAGTACAGAAAACATATCTATTTTGTTTATCATACTTCCTCAGAAATAAACATAAGCTATTACATATAACTTTTTTAATTTTATCTTCCTCATGTGGTGCGTAATATACATCTTCAATCAAAATCCCTTCCTCTTTTTTATTAGGAAATAACCATTCTCAACCTAATATTGCCTACATCCAGTTTGTACGCTATAAATTCCATTATAGGTTTATAGTCCTATTTATAAAAACAACAAGAAATCCATTCAACGAATAAAATCGATACCGAGCTTTAAAAGAAATGAAAGACAAAAAATCAAATTACTTATCTGTATCGCCACGTCTTTGTCGCTCTTTGACCGCAATGCGCGTTCCAACTACTTTAATGTTGCCATATTACCGTCTTTATAGCTTCTATTGTTTTCATCCTGCGTCTTGTTTAAGAATCGTGCCTTCCTTCGTCTTCGTCTGGTTAAAACAATATTTTACACTTTGTTAGTTAATTCGTTAAACGGTCGCCTCAAAATATTGTTAGGTTGAATTATGAGCACGCACACCCCACAGTTAAAGAAACACTCTATTTATAATATTAACCATAACAATATCAATAAGTATAAGTTGTATATAGAGATGTAATCGGATCCATTGGTTTCAATTTCGAACATGTAAAACTAAGAATAATTAATAGGGCAATTCTAATACCACGCGCAGTCAGATATAGCTTCTAATCTAATTACAGATTTGGCAGGTAAGTGGGAAGTCATGTAAACAAGTTGGTGTAAAGAATTAGCATAGTTTCTTTATGGTCTATCCCAAATTTTTGTTTTGAAATTATGTTACTATCTTTATGTGTTTTATTTATAGTTATAGTTTTATGGTCTATCGGTTTTAGGGACAAATAAAAAAAGGAGATAGCAAACAAATGCGTCTCTTATCTTGCCACTTCAGGATCATACTTTTTGAGTAGTTATTATTTTATGTCTCATAGTTTTTTGTCTGAATGAAATGTGGGATATCTTTTCTGATTTTTTGCAGTTCCTTCTCCATGTTTTGTGTTTCATGATTTATTAAAAATTAGGTAGTTTTTGTGACGTAAAGCACCTATTAGTGATAACATAGTATTATCATTCCAAATATGCCAGAGCAGAAGAAAGATTTAGGTTTTGTTTAAATTTGGAGAAGTTGCCATAAATTATCCTGCTCTTACATTCTTACAGGAAAATCAATCACTATTTGAGAACTTTCGATGTATCACTATCATTTCATTGTGTACCTGAGCATTATGGCTAGGCAGTGTGTTAGTACCTTAATATCTTCTTCTACGGTTTATACAGGTGAATCAATCAGTATTTGAGAACTTTGGATGTATCGCTATCATTTCGTTGTATATCTGATCCTTATGGCCTGGCAGTTAATACTTTAATATCTGTTTGGAAGAATCCCTGAAAAAACCGACAATGATTTGCGGTGATAGAAAAGATCGTATCCATTGTCGAATCTTAATATGCTTAGATGTGGCTAAACGATATTCACCTTATTTAAGTGCATTATTTTTTGTTGTATTACGTATTTTTGTAGATTGCTAAGACACGATTAAGGAACTGTATTGCAATTGTACTTTTTTTCAACTTCTTACTACTTATTCATCTTCTTATGCATTAAAGTGATCTTCTAAGTCGACAATTCTAATTTTATTGGTAATATAATAATAGATAATATCATGTAAGCCGAAATTCAACAAGGTGACAGTTCTGTAGTTGGAACACAGGAATCTATCACCTTTCTTGAGCAAAGGCACTATAATGCCAATGTTTCATTCCTCAGGTATTTACTTAGATGACTCTATCCTTGTGACAAATTCGTGATCATTTCACTATATGTCGGCTGTTCTTATTCTCTGTTGTCTGATGTGTTAGGCAAAACCTCTGCATTCCGTTCTTCTTGTTCTATCCTCAGTTTTTCTTGATAGTGGACCATATCCATGTTGCTCATTGTGCCTAGACATTGTTATCTTAGGTTTAAATCCCTTCATACTCCTATTGTGTTGTTAGATTCTCTAATTCCCTTTATTGATTCTTTATGGTCTCTCTCTTTTCCACCTATGAGTCCTCTTTTTTGCGTTCCTCCGTACTCTGTAGTTTTCTATAGACTTGATTCTTTCTTTCCGTTACCTCAGTACACTCTTCGTCATACCAGTCCATTAAACCTAGACCTCACAGATAATATTTCTATATACGTTCTACTCGATGTAATTTTCTTCGCAATTATGTCTACTTCCCAGCTTCAGACTTATGTTCTCTTTGTACTCTCTATTTCTGCAGAGATCTTTAAAGTTCTGTAGGTTGAATTTCTGGTGTTTTTATGCTGTTGCCTTTTTGACATTCTCAATTGTTGCTGTGACCCTACTCTCTACCAGGTGGTAGTCACAGTAAATGTTAGCATCTCACCTGCTTTTGAACTCTATTGTCAGATTGGTGCTTGTATCATCATTGAAGTGATCTGCTATGTTGAGTCTATGGCACACTTGTATATGTCTTTGCGCTCAAACTATGTACTTATAATGACCATATTTAGGGAGGTCGACATGTTAATTACACTAGTGCCACTATCATTCTTTTTGTAGCTTATGTTTTCCCTACTATGATCTTAATATCACTTTTTGGGCATAAGTGGTAGGCAGATTCTAATTCTTCAAGAATGTTTCATTTTCGTTCTCTTGGGAGCATGTGCGCATGTGAGACTATAATTAAATAATCTTAAACCTCAGCATGCATAATCTAGGGTTGTGTACATTGAAATCTTTTATTCTATTGTTTATAAGGAAGTCTGTCTTCTTGTAGTACGATGAGGCCGAGTTGATATTTATTAGTGTTTCCGGATTCTCAAGTCAAGCCAAGAGTACATTTTCATCATTGGATCTTGCCCCTGCTTCGCGCAAAGTCCTGGTCTCCTGATCAGTACGCCTTTCTCTGTTTGAACTTTCGCAATAGGTGCTTTTTTCCGGGACTAGCCCTGACTCTGCTTCCCACTGGAATTGGTTGCACAGTTCTCAGTAAGGTTACCAGGGGTCACCAACTCGGAGATGAGAGTAGGCATTTAATAGGAGGCTAAGGATAATAGAATAATTTCAAAAGACAAAAATAATTCAAGAATACAACATGTAACTTCTTCTCCGCAATTACTTTACAGATGTTTTAGTACAGCAAAGTTCGTAATGTTATCATGATTACTACAATAAGCTTATAATTTCCAACTGGGTGAGATTAGAAATCAATCAAGTCGTTGTCAGGTGGAAGAGGACTTTTTAATTATCGAGAAATTCACGAAATTAATACCACTCCTTTTTTCACTCTTTTTGTTGTCTAACAGCAAAAATTAACCATCCTTGACTTACATTTTTATACTTTAACGTGCAGTTATATGCCTTCCTCCACCGTCTATTGCAAATAAGCATATTGGTCATTGTAAGATTTAGTGAATAAATCATTTTAACTTTGTTTTGCTAAATTAGATTTTGCATTGAAATGTCGTTGATTATTTAGGTATTCTAATGAAAGTCCTACTGGAGGTAATGGAGGTTGTGACAGCGATGGAAATAACGAAACGGATTATCTCGATTGGCAAAGTGGTCTTCCTGAAGAAGAACTTCAAAAGCTCTCTTCACACGAAAAAGAAAGACAAGATATCATAAACGGTGAGTGTAAATGAGAAATATATAGAAAGTCTAATTTTTTAATGTCGTTTTTTTTATTATTTTTGTAAAGAATTATTTTATACCGAAAAGTCTCACTTACGAAATCTCGATATTTTGAGTCGAATATTTTTAAAAGGTATAAAAGAAAAAAGCCTATTAAAAGAAGAAGAGATACAACTAATATTTCCTAATTTACCGGATTTATTAAAAATCCATGGTAAGTTTAAATGCATTTTAAAAAATAAAAAGATTCGCGATGGTATAATTTGGAAGAATATCGGCGAAAGTTTATTAACGATGTTCGAAGGAGAATTAGGCGAAACTTTACAAAAGGTTGCGGCAACTTTTTGTGAGAACCAACAGTGTGCCTTAGAATTAATTAAAGAGAAACGACGCAAAGACTCCAAGTTTAGTATGGGCCTAAATGAACTGGAAAAGAACAACGATTGCCGACGGTTAACGTTACAAGGATTTATCGTCTCCGAAATGCAAAGGCTCGCCAAGTATCCATTGCTTATTGAAAGACTTATCAGCATTTTAGAGAAAATTGAGTCAAACTCTCAAGATCTCGAATACTCTCAAGTTGAAATGAATAGTTTAACGCGAGCGCATGATCGGGCCAAAGAAATTATTAATTATATTAATGAAGCTGCTGCTAAAGCTTGGTGTAAATATCGACTAGAAGAAATACAAAACCATTTGGATACTAGTTTATTTAGTACGTCTTCTAATAAAGAAATTGTTAATGAATTTAAAGTAAGTAAAAAAAATAAAATTAACGTTTTTACTTATTCATTTATATTTTTTTTTTGTTCAGAGTATTGACTTAACTAATTACAATTACGTTTATGATGGTCCCGTTCATTTAAAAAGACAGAACAAAGCACACTTGCAGGTCCATATGGTGCTACTAGAGGAATTCGTTGTACTATTACAGCGCGATAGTGAACGTTACTTGCTGAAATTTTTTCAAAATGGTAAACCGGGACAACCGCCTTTAGCTCCTATTATTAAAATGTCGACACTTTTAGTGAGAACAAACGCAGCGTGTAAGTTTTTATCATAATTGTTTTTATGTATGTAACACTTTAAACTTAGATTTAAAGTTCTAAAAATATCAAATTAATTTTTTTTTTTAATATTTTCAGTCGAAAGTTCATTATTTTTGGTAAACACATCTGCGAGTTCAATGTACGAATTATTAACGCGAGATAGTTCAGAAAGAAAAACGTAAGAAAAGATTTATTTCCTAATTTTGTTGATGTCTTATAATATAATATATAGACTTATTTTTCCAGATGGTTTACGCATCTATCGAATGCAGTAGAATCGTTTAAACAACCGGGTGGTAAAACGAAAACTTCTGAGCCTGACGAGGAAGAGACTGTCGATGAACTTCCTAATTTACAAGACGCTATCGAGAGGGCGGAAACGATCGGTAGTGACACATCGGGAAGCGATGCTGAAAGGAATTCATCATCATCGCAAGTAAGAAGTACGGAAACTAATAACACTTCTTCTCACGAGGACGATGAATCAACTGATGGAAAATCAGATATAACAGTCGTCGAAAAAAATGATATCGAAATTAATGACGATGTTAATTCAAGTAAGTTTCTAGCGCTTAGATTAATAAATTATAAAAGAAAATAGGACAATTTTGCTTATTTCTTTGCTTGAAGTTTGATTTTTATTGTTATTATTATTATTTTTTTGATGAGTTGGTGCATAAAGAAAATTGGTTAATTCTTTTAGATGGTGGTGGAGTTTCGAGAAAGTTTACAACTGAGGATTGGCCGCTTATTCAACCTTCTGAAGTGCACGCAGATATTCCTCCTGTACATTCTGCCGATATTGTTTTAACGCCCATAGGTATGGCTTCAGTTTGACTTTATTAGAATTCTTTGTAAAATAAAAAAAAATTACTTAAATTTTTTTCTGGTAGAAATTTTATATCACTTAAATCCTTCATTGTATATAAAGTATATATTCAAATCAAAATTATTAAAATTATTGGGCGAATTGATAGAAAACATCCTCAGTATAATCGAGGATATTAAGATAAACATAATTTTCACGTTTTATTACACTCTGTATCTTCTTGACAATTTATTTTAGTTTAGGTAGTAAATTTTTGTACACAATTTCTGACTCACGCTGTATAAAATATTAACTATCGAACATTCATTAATTCCTTACTTTTAATTTTGAGCAATTACAAAAAAATATTTATTAATGACTTGTATGTAAAACTATTGTTTAGAACAAATTAAAAGAAAAGGAGATGAAGTATCGAAAGCGATCGATGAAAAACAAAATCTCTGTGCTGACGTTCTCAACATCGATAGAAAAGACTTCAAAATCATTGCGGATATGACGTCAGAGGCGAACACTCGTGATCCCATCGACCTTGTGATTGCTTCAATGAATCAAGGTAAAAATAAATTTTAATATGTTTAATATATTGTTTTCCAAAATGATGTGAGCAATTCAGAAAGTTTCATAAATCTATCTAAATACAATGTAAGAATTAAATTAAGATTGAAAGATGACTCCCATCAAATTTCGACAATGATTTTATATTCCCTTTATATTTCTGCCATATTATGTTATCTCCTGCATTAATTCCTTACAATTGTCCAGTACTTAACTTATGAGCTGCAACATAATAGATTCACATAAAATGATACCAAATGAAATAATATTTTGACTTTACTAGAATCTTAAACCAAGAACTTTTTGTAAAATAAAGAAAAATCATTCCAATTTTCTGGTAGAGATTTTAAATTACTTATATTCTTTATTTTATATAAAGTATATATTCAAACGAACCGAAACCGATATTTATCGCCGAAATTCGCATTTTGTCTCAGTTTCGGCTGAAACTGTACCCGAAATATTTTTTAGGGTTAAATACAAGACAAAATCCAAGGATTTTAATAATACTGTATTCACCACAAAGTAAAAAAACATGACTAATCTTAATAATGGACATTTTTGTTCAACCAATCGTTGCAACATTAGGTAGGTGCTATTCCACCATTAATTTTGACAATCTGTCAGTTTTCTGGTTGCTTGTTCACTCCTTCTAAAGTGAGTGATTCTTCTGACCTTTTTATCGCTGTCTATGCCTTCTGCTCTGAATAAGGGATCATTGATGACCAACTGCAAAGTGTGATACAAACAACCTATAGTATCAAATAGCGCCATACGGGTTGCACAACCCATATTTGGTGCATTGCAGGAATAGAAACTTGTTTAGAAACATTTTTAGCGTAAACGCCGATGTGATACAGTAGCTTCCAATATAACTTTTAATCTTTGTGATCCCATTATGAAATGACTTATCAAACTCAGTAATGAGCAGGACTTTGATGCATTTGTCCATACATTATCAGTCGTGCAACTTAACCATTCGCATTGTTCGATTAAGTCCATTGTTTTTACCTTCACTGTGTCATATGGTTGTGGCATTAGTGACGTCTGGAAATATTTTTCAAATTTATTGCGGTTCTTTCGTCATTCGTTTTGTTATATCTTAAGTTACATTGTATGAGATTCGATCGTTATTATTAATATATTATTAAGATGTGATAAACTCACATCTTTCTTTTTTCATCTTTCATGTTTGGTTCGTTTCTGCCCAAAGAATAAAGTTAATAAGGATTTTGACAAGACAGCTTTTGTCGTAGAAATCCCAACTCGTTTTTCGCCTTTCTCACTTTACATACTTTTTATATTTCGCTTTTCAAGGTAGATGCACGTACAGAAACAACTAGTTTCATCTTGCTTAAAACAAGGTGAAACTTCCGTGCCCGCAAGCCAAAGAAAATACGAGAATAGACGAACACTAGCCGAAACTAGACGAATAAAGTTTCGCACGAGGATCCTTCAAGAAATGAATTTTATAGCGAATTTTGAAAATTATCGATGAAAATTGCAACACCCAAAATTTTATCAAAACTTGTTGGTTCATTGGAAAGAAGGCACTTTTATTAACATTTTGGGAAATTTTCATACTCATATTCCAAGAAATGGATTTTAGACGAATTTTTAAAACTTAATCGGCGAAAATTGCAAAATTCGAAAAAATTGTTGATCAGTTCAAAAATTTATTTCTCAAAAACTGAAAGTGATTTTNAAATGAATTTCCTAATTTTGTTGATGTTTTTTATTATATTATTTATACTTATTTTTGCAGATGGTTTACGCATCTATCGAATGCAGTAGAATCGTTTAAACAACCGGGTGGTAAAACGAAAACTTCTGAGCCTGACGAGGAAGAGACTGTCGATGAACTTCCTAATTTACAAGACGCTATCGAGAGGGCGGAAACGATCGGTAGTGACACATCGGGAAGCGATGCTGAAAGGAATTCATCATCATCGCAAGTAAGAAGTACGGAAACTAATAACACTTCTTCTCACGAGGACGATGAATCAACTGATGGAAAATCAGATATAACAGTCGTCGAAAAAAATGATATCGAAATTAATGACGATGTTAATTCAAGTAAGTTTCTAGCGCTTAGATTAATAAATTATAAAAGAAAATAGGACAATTTTGCTTATTTCTTTGCTTGAAGTTTGATTTTTATTGTTATTATTATTATTTTTTTGATGAGTTGGTGCATAAAGAAAATTGGTTAATTCTTTTAGATGGTGGTGGAGTTTCGAGAAAGTTTACAACTGAGGATTGGCCGCTTATTCAACCTTCTGAAGTGCACGCAGATATTCCTCCTGTACATTCTGCCGATATTGTTTTAACGCCCATAGGTATGGCTTCAGTTTGACTTTATTAGAATTCTTTGTAAAATAAAAAAAAATTACTTAAATTTTTTTCTGGTAGAAATTTTATATCACTTAAATCCTTCATTGTATATAAAGTATATATTCAAATCAAAATTATTAAAATTATTGGGCGAATTGATAGAAAACATCCTCAGTATAATCGAGGATATTAAGATAAACATAATTTTCACGTTTTATTACACTCTGTATCTTCTTGACAATTTATTTTAGTTTAGGTAGTAAATTTTTGTACACAATTTCTGACTCACGCTGTATAAAATATTAACTATCGAACATTCATTAATTCCTTACTTTTAATTTTGAGCAATTACAAAAAAATATTTATTAATGACTTGTATGTAAAACTATTGTTTAGAACAAATTAAAAGAAAAGGAGATGAAGTATCGAAAGCGATCGATGAAAAACAAAATCTCTGTGCTGACGTTCTCAACATCGATAGAAAAGACTTCAAAATCATTGCGGATATGACGTCAGAGGCGAACACTCGTGATCCCATCGACCTTGTGATTGCTTCAATGAATCAAGGTAAAAATAAATTTTAATATGTTTAATATATTGTTTTCCAAAATGATGTGAGCAATTCAGAAAATTTCATAAATATCTAAATACAATGTAAGAATTAAATTAAGATTGAAAGATGACTCCCATCAAATTTCGACAATGATTTTATATTCCCTTTATATTTCTGCCATATTATGTTATCTCCTGCATTAATTCCTTACAATTGTCCAGTACTTAACTTATGAGCTGCAACATAATAGATTCACATAAAATGATACCAAATGAAATAATATTTTGACTTTACTAGAACCTTAAACCAAGAACTTTTTGTAAAATAAAGAAAAATCATTCCAATTTTCTGGTAGAAATTTTAAATTACTTATATTCTTCATTTTATATAAAGTGTATATTCAAACGAACCTAAACCGATATTTACCGACGAAAAAACAAAGTAAAAAACATGACTAATCTTAATAATGCACATTTTTGTTCAACCAATCGTTGCAACATTAGGTAGGTGCTATTCTACCATTAATTTTGACGATCTGTCAGTTTTCTGGTCGCTTGTTGATTCCTTCAAAAGTGAGTGATTTTTGACCTTTTTATCGCTGTTTCTATGCCTTCTGCTCTGAATAAGGGATCATTGATGACCAACTGCAAAGTGTGATACAAACAACCTATAGTATCAAATAGCGCCATACGGGTTGCCCAACCCATATTTGGTGCATTGCAGGAATAGAAACATTTTTTTTTATGTTCCATTCACCCACAATTCGAGTAAGCTTTTCTGAAGTGTAAACGCCGATGTGATACAGTAGTTTCCAATATAACTTTTAATCTTTGCGATCCCATTATGAAATGACTTGTCAAACTCAGTAATGAGCAGGACTTTGATGCATTTGTCCATACATTATCAGTCGTGCAACTTAACCTTCACTGTGTCATATGTTTGAGGCATTAGTGACGTCTGGAAACATTTTTCAAATTTAAAACTGTATTTACAATGGGCGTTTGGATCTGCTAAATTAAAACGTTCAAAAGCAGTACTTTCCACTACAATTATAAGTCCATTGGCCTTATCGATTCTCTGAGCAATTGCATGATCACCTGTCCATTGCGGTTGTTTCGTCATTCGTTTTGTTATATCTCAAGTTACATGGTATGAGATTAGATTGTTATTGTTAATATATTATTAAGATGTGATAAGCTCACATCTTTCTTTTTTCATCTTTCATGTTTGGTTCGTTCCTGCCCAAAGAATAAAGTTTTTTGTAAAATTTACATATGGCTTTTGACAAGACAAGCTTTTGTCGTAGAAATCCCAACTCGTTTTTCGTCTTTCTCACATTACATACTTTTTATATTTCGCTTTACAAGGTAGATGCACGTACAGAAACAACTAGTTTCATCTTGCTTAAAACAAGATGAAACTTCCGTACCCGCAAGCCAAAGAAAATACGAGAATAGACGAACATCAGCCGAAACTAGACGAATAAAGTTTCGCTTCTTGCCGAAGGTTCGGTCGATATTTGGCTGCAACAGAAACATTTACCGAACTCTATTATTTTGGCCGAAGCCGAATCTTCGGTCGTAGTAATAATAAGCACTAACTTAGCTCAAATACCTAAAGGAATATTTTACCCTTTTAAAATGAACTTCCGTAAAAATTGTTGGAGCATTTCTGAAGTGATACCCTATATTGCCACATTATTGCGATATTTGAATAAAAATAAAATTAATAAGAAAGCTGATAAGATATGTCAACTTATTTGGATCCAAGATACGAAATGAACTTTTTTCATACTGATTTAACTAACGAAACAACTCTAAAAAGAGGATACTTTAATTAATAATTGGCGATATTTCAACAAGGATCCTTCAAGAAATGAATTTTATAGCGAATTTTGAAAATTATCGATGAAAATTGCAACATCGAAAATTTTATCAAAACTTTAAATATTGTTTTTTCAAAAACTAAAAGCTATTTTTCAAAACTTGTTGGTTCATTGGAAAGAAGAGACTTTTATTAACACTTTGGGAAATTTTCATACTCATATTCCAAGAACTGGATTTTATATGAATTTTTAAAACTTACTCGGCGAAAATTGCAAAATTTCTCAAGAACTAAAAGTGATTTTTCAAAACCGCTTGTTGCATTAAAAAGTGGATACTTTAATTAATAATTGGTGATATTTCCACAAGGATCCTTCAAGAAATGAATTTTATGCGAATTTTGAAAATTGCAACATCGAAAATTTTATCAAAACTTCAAATATTGTTTTCTCAAAAACTAAAAGCTATTTTTCAAAATGGGTTGGTTCATTGGAAAGAAGGCACTTTTATTAACACTTTGGGAAATTTTCATACTCATATTCCAAGAAATGGATTTTAGACGAATTTTTAAAACTTATCGATGAAAATTGCAACATCGAAAATTTTATCAAAACTTCAAATATTGTTTTCTCAAAAACTAAAAGCTATTTTTCAAAATGGGTTGGTTCATTGGAAAGAAGGCACTTTTATTAACACTTTGGGAAATTTTCATACTCATATTCCAAGAACTGGATTTTATACGAATTTTTAAAACTTAATCGGCGAAAATTGCAAAATTCGAAAAAAGGTCCTGTTGGTGTTGAACTCGATTATTATCTGCACTGTCCAATACCTAAAAGAGATACTAATTCCTGTGAATGGTGGAGTACTAAATAATAGGTTTTTAATATCCGGCCAAAGATATTTGGTAACTATCCAGTATCTGTTCGGATTTTAAAAAATTGTCGGATCAGTTCCACCACTAATATAGACTCAATACCTTTTATGGTTTTCCCTGTTAGCTTTTCTCATTTCTATTTATAGATTTTTTTATTAAAGTTTCTTACATCCCTGACAAATAATATAGTATTAAATGATACAGTATTGGAATGAACGAGTAAGGACGACCAAACTAGATTGCTAATAGTTGAAAAGATTTTGTAATTAGAAAGTTAGGACGTGAATAAAATTTAAATAATTGAACCTTTAACACTTCAGAAACGCTGATTTGTACTCCTTTTACTCAAACTATTAAAAATTATAAGGAAATATAGAATTCTTTAAGATGCAAAAGTCAGGTTGGTGAATTTGGTGAAAATCTATAACAGAATTAAATATCTGCTCATCACTACAAGACAGTAGTTTATATGAATTTTTATGTTGATCTCTGATCCGTTTTAGGCATCAAAAAGTATTGATGGATTATTCCTAAAAATGTTTCTCCTAAAAATTTCCTAAAACATATTTTTTACAAAATCAAAGTGTATTCAAATCAATTTGATGATGAGTTTTTCAAGGTGCTGTGAACGTGGTAGAAAGAAGTTGTTCACAGAAATACGTGTGTAAAGAGAATATCAATTCATTTACATTTATTCACCAATTCCTGAACCATATAGAAGTTTATGGACTGTTATATGATTAGTATTTCATCACGCTTGTCGCTCGGCTTTGTTCACGTACTCTTCGTGGTAGTATTCGTTCAGTTTGGCCTATTTAAACTTATTATAAGTTTAAGGGTGTATCCAAACATTAAGGATCTAAAGGATCTTCATGTATTGGTTGGATGGCTGTTGCAACGTCAGAAGACGTTGTAGGTTTATGATTATTTTAATTTTTATTAAGCAAGCTTAGTTACGATTCAAAACAGCTTCGCGCACTCTAGTTGCCATCTTTTCCGGTTACGCCAATCCCCTGGAGTTGATTGCCTCTGCCACATTAATGATTTTTGAAAATCCAGTTGCAGTACCAGATCGAATAATCGTCAGACTTCTATTTCCCTGTTCATGCAAACTTTTTCATACAGGTTCAATAAATCTCACTTTCCTTTTTTTATTCAACCCCTAAATTACTAGGGTAATTTCAGACACAAAAATTGTGCTCATTTTTAATCACTGTGCGAAAACTTTTCTCTACCTCTACCCTTTAGAAATTGCTCATTCAGCTCAACCTGCATAAATGTTCATATCATCCCTATTTTTTTTTGTATGTTATTTGATTTGCGGCTGTAAATATTGAGGGTATACTTACACAAATTTAACAAAATTAAGTTAAAAAATAAACTAGTTTCATACCTTAAACTGTAAAAAACCGTTTGAAATCTATTCTATGAAAGTTTAAATCTTTAAATGTGAGAAAAACAAATATTAATCTGTTTTCAATTCTTTTTGTAGTGGATCTAATATTTAAGGCTGTGAATGAGTCGTTAACGGTAACAGACGCTGAACTAATAAAAGGTGGCACAACGCCATCGTGTACGAGTCAAAAGAATTTTATTCAAAACGATTACCATCGTTACCCGTCAGAAATGAACGACGTTAAGGAAGCTGCGACGAAACTTAACAGACTACTTACGGAATTATTAGTAAGTATATATATTTTTTGAATATAATTGTTATTAATAATGATATTATTATTAGGAAGTCGTAAAAGATAAGGATGAAGAATATTTAAGGCTTAGGAGAGAACAGGAAAAAACGCGAGAACAATTACATGCGCGATTATCTCTTGAATGTAGTTCGCAAGAGATAAATAAAGATGTAGTTGATGTTTCTGCTGATGTATCACAGACTGGGGACTTGGAAAGCATAGAGGTTTGATAAAAACGATTTGATGTTTAAAATTGAATTGTAATGAATTTTTTTTTCCTCTAGGAAAGTCTAACGGAGAACGATATGAATTAATTTAAATGAAAAAGAGACAATTTCGATTCTATTAAGTTATTTAATTAAAAAAGTACTTTGTATAGTTATTATTTTGTTGATAAGTTTTAATTTATAAGAGATTTCCATGTTATAACCCTATTATAAGCGTAATTATATTAGTTGCAACTTCAGTTTGAAGAAGAAAAACTTATTTTTGTAGCAAAAAAATCAATGTTTTTAATACCGATAAGTAATGTATTGTTCTAAAGTCTAAACGCATGCCCATAGTAAGTTATTTTCATTTCTCTCGCCATTCTTTGATCTATTTTTTTATTATTTTTTCTTATCTTTATATGCTACTGTCAAAAACAATACCTAAAGTATTATATAATTATTTTATGCTTTACAACTTTTTTTAAAGGGTTTGTGCAAAATATCCAATTTTATTGTTATTATACATACAATGTTATTAAAACAGTAGATGTAGGTAAAAGATACCTTTTAGTTGGGCTATTTTTCAATATAACTGTTTCTGTTGTAGAATTTTCCTGTGTACCTGAGTACCTAATGTGTATAATTAATAAAGTATCTCTAGTTGATCCATATATCCATACTGTTTTTATTATAATTATTAATTTCTTTTTCTATATAAAAACGCAAATTATTTATGTTGTGTAACAGTTTGTATTGCTTTTTGCCAGTAGTGTATTAATTAATTATTGTAATTGTGATGCAACAAATTTTTGCATTTTTTTCTTTTTCTTATTTTTTCTTACAAATGTGGAAAATCAATTTTATTGTTATAATCATTATGTAAATTTGGATACCTACATGAAATAACATAATACATTTTTATTGTATATAAAATGAGCATTGAATTTATTAATGTGAATAAAATTAATTAAAATATCCATATACATTTTTTATTCTATTCATTGAACTAAATTTCATTAAACTCTGATTTATATCTCCCCTTATCTAAATATCTTGTAAAATGTTCATTATGATATCACAGAAAGATTATGATTTTGTGGCATTTTCACAATAATTTATTCTTATTGAAAGCCTTATGACTTGTTAGGACGCTCTGTCATTCCTGGTTTACTTCTCCTGTGAAACTGAGCTCCAACTGTCTTTTCATTGCTTTGAAGGTCGTCTTTTTGTGTGTTTGTTTTGCCACCTCTTGCACAATTTGCCAGGCACGACGGATTCATACATGTTCATTCATTTCTCATCGTCTCTACAGGACCCATCTGACGATTTCTGGGGTGTTGCATTTTTCTCTGATTTCTGTACTTCTCTTATGATTTTCTTACTTAAACATACATTGTATATTCTAGCATTGCTTGCGACTATTAGATGTTTATTCCTGCATATTGGTTAGCAAAATGCACCTGACATGCTTGTTGGCTTTATGGCTTGCTTTGTGACGCTATCCTTTAGATCCCCATAGGCATTGATTTGTTCTCAATGATTTGCTTTTACACTAAAACATTGCATTTTATGGGTGATTTTGCTATGACCATGTTACATTTCATTCAATTGGTCGCAAATTTTATGTCACAGTGGTACGTAGTTTTTATGGATATATATCGTTGGTGGGCTTCTTTTCTTTTGCTACCTCTTCAAACCAGACATGTTTGTCATGTGCATGTCTATGTGCTGTTTTATGATTTCTCATGTGTTATTGTAGTCATTGTTCTCTTTGATTGGATTGTCTTCCATCTTCTTTATAAGTCGGCGTTGATGTAACCACCTTGTGCTCCCATTTCTTAATGATTAAATACTTACTTTGTCCATCTTTTCAGATTGTTGATGTGGCAGGTCCAGGAGTATTTTACCCACTACAAGATAATGGTCTGATCCTATGTTAGGATATGTTAATGCTTTTACGTCCAAGACTTGTTCCGGTTTTATGTGTCGGTTTGTGATTATGTAGTCAATCACTGATGTTCCTCGCTCTTCTTGGAATGTGACTTCGTGTTGGATCTTGTGGCCAAAATATGTGTTACATATTCTCATTTCGTTGTATGTGCAGATATCCGTTAATATTTCACCTCTGCTGTTCTGTGTTGGTCCCTTGAACATATTTTTCACCCCTGGGATGATGGAGTTATCCACCCTAGCATTCAAATCACCTATAATGATGATTTTGTCTTGTCTTGGTATAGTATTCACTTCCTCCTATAATTCTTAGTAGAATAAACCTGCTTCGTTATCATGTTTGCTTGCATCATCTTTTATGCTACAAAATTTATTAGTTCATCATTAGACGCCCACCTTTTTTAAATAAACTATAATTTTCGTCTGACATCTGTTGTGTAATAGCAAAATAATAGTAATTAGCCAAATTACAAACCGAATTTTGAAAGCTTTACAGTTTTGGTTTAAGTCTCCGATAAAAATTCCCAAATGGTTTGCATTATCATAAAATAAAAGAGCCAATCACGCAATATCGCGTGATGCGAGTTTTCACCAAACGGCAGATCACGCGATATCGTGTGGAGGTCACTATCAAGTTTCTAAGCGGAATAGTGTAGTAGCCACATCGAAACTATAGGCCACTAGGGAAGCCATTGCCTATAGTTTATGAGAGCCAGTGCATAAAGTTTTATTTATTTTGAGTATTGTTTTTGCTTTGTTTAGTATGAGTGACCAATCAGGACCTTCGAAAAGACTCAATGCAATGCCGGATCGTGCAAAAAAGCGTCTAAAAAATACAGAGGTAGAGTTATTACTGGATTCGGACGACGACTTTTATGCAGGAAGTGATATCGATGATATAAACTATGAATTTGTCGATAGTGAAAGTGACTCGGAATCCGAAGAAAACGAAGCTTCGCAGTTGCAGGTGAAACAAAATAATGAGTTTGTAAATGAATATCCGTCTGACCAGCCATCGCGTGCAGTTTCCACGACATGTTGGAGTACCGACTTCAGTTCTATGAGGGAAATTCCTTTTACTCGGACAAATTCACTACTAGTGCCAGCGCCGAATAATCCAAAGGATTATTTTGATTTATTTGTCAGTGAAGATTATTTACAAAAAATCGTCAATTGCTCAAATAGATACGCAGAAAAGTTGAAAAATTCATCTAATCAGGCTCAGTCTCGAATTACACAATGGAAGTCGCTCACTATGGAAGAACTGAAAATCTTTATTGGGTTACTATTACACACTAGTACAGCAAAAATGAATCGCATTGTTGATTACTGGAAAAGTCACCGTTTATATAAATCAGTTTTCCCTCAATATATGTCAAGAAATAGATTTCAAATAATTCTTAGATGCCTCCATTTTGTTGAAGAACAAAATAATACCGATTGCATGGATAAATGCAAATTAGTAATAGATAATTTCAATAATGTTATGGAACGTATTTATTACCCCGATCAAAAATTGTCTATAGATGAATCGATGATTTTATGGCGTGGTCGCCTTATTTTCCCCCAATACATGGAGGTAAAAAGACACAAACATGGAATCAAGTTATATGTACTTGCGGAACCAAATGGTACCATCCTAAAAGTGCATCTAACTGCGGAGAAATGCCACACTGAAAAAATAGTGCAAAAGTTGTTACAGGGAAAATTGAACGCTGGCCATGCACTATTTATGGACAATTTTTATAACAGCTACAGTTTAGCTATCAAACTATTGGACCAAAATACCTATTGCACCGGTACATTGAACAAGAAACGTAAAGATAACCCAAACAGCATAATGACAAAAAAAATAAAAAAAGGCGAAAATGTATCACAGTGTCGTAACGGTGTCCATATAGGGAAATGGAAGGACAAAAGGGAGATAAATTACATATCTACCGAATTTTCTAACGAAATGCAAGAAGTGACCACCAGACGAGGCACTGTAACAACAAAACCTGCAGCCATCATAAATTTCAACAAAAACATGTCAGGCATTGATCTACAAGATCAAATGCTCAGTTACTACCCATGCGAAAGGAAGACTTTACGTTGGTACATGAAAATTTTTATACATACTTTGATGATGAGTCTGATAAATGCCCGGCTACTTTATAACAAATATTCTAATCAGAAGAGCATGACACTTTATGATTTCAGGGAAAAAATTATTGAATCCTATTTGTTAAAAATAACATCCGATCCACAAACAACACAGAAGTCACGTGGAGACCAAGAACAACACAAGTTAACTAAAATTGAAAAAACCAAACCGCGATGTCTCAGCACCGGCAAAACAGTAAACGCAACGTCCAGAAAGGATTGCAGAAATTGTTATAAAAATGAAAAAAGGGTAAACACCACCACTGAATGTAAAAAATGTCCAGGTTCTCCCCCATTATGTTTTGATTGTTTTTTTGAATTGCATTATTGCACTGCTAAATAATTTTATAATTTGTATCTCTTTCTTTTTATAATTAGTCCAACGAAATGAAAACTAGTAAGTTCACTATAAATGGTGATTTTTGATAATTACTTTTTTCTATTTGTACGTTATTCTTCAAAATTCTTTGTAATCATAAAAGACATAATTAAAGTTATAATTATTATATATGTTTTTTATTCGTGACGCATCTACTATCGCGTGATAGATATTTAGAATTTTACTTCTATGTGCTCTAAATTTTAGAGTACATAAATCCTATGTACATAATAATAAAGATATATAACTTATTTTGAGCACAATAACAACTAAATAAAAAAATCAAAAGAATTTGGCCACCACAGGAAATTTCAATTTTCAGCTTGGCAATGAACGTGTTCAAAATAATTCGGTTTATTTGCATTTGTTATAATTGTTCTATTTAGAATTTAAATAGGTATAAAAATTATCATCAATCATCCATTATGACCCATCTTCGAATCCTCTTGTTTTACACGTTGGTGATAAATTGAGTGGGAACGTAATTCCTTTAAGAAAGTGGAGTCGACAGTAACTTTAATAGTGGTTATATTGCTCACTACAATTTTAATTAAAACAGAAAGTTAATTCTGACATGAATTTTTCCGACCATAATGTGTTCCTTTGTTGTACCGGGGATGGACGCATTTTCAAATGTTCAACTGGCGAAATTGATTAAACTAGTAGTGAATTACTTTACTCCTGTTCGTTACAAATTATATTTTCATTGTTAAGCTTTGTTGACATTTTGGTATGTACAGAAAACTAATTACATATATCGTTTGACTATAACAGTTTGTTCCATAATTTAAACTACGTTATAAATTAGGCTTTGTACAGCCATACGTTTTCGTCATTAATCGTATTTAAAATTAGTTGTTATGTTAAGTCGCACTTAAATATTCTTATATCATTAATCACCTTACCTGCTAAGGAAAGGAATACAATGAACGTGATTTGTGGGGACAAAAGCACCAATTATCGTTTGAAATTTTTATTTTTCTAGAACATTTAGTTGGTCATTACGGAAATCAATGAATATAGGTTTGAACAATATTTGGTTTGAGTATACTTAGGTGTAAGGATTAGAATAAATTAATGGTTATCATATATTAACAAATCTCGTAAACAGCCAGTAAATAATTTAGTTAACAACAGTTAATTGCGACATTGCAATGATGTCAAATACCATACACGACTATACTAATTGCATGGAAGGAAGCAACTTATTTCATCAATTCCATTCATGCTACATACTAAAACTTTTTACTTTATCCTATACACGAAGTATAGGTAATTCTCAACAACAGATTAGACTTAAAATGATACGCACCTACGACAACCAACCCAAGTTAAGGGACAGTTCACGAACCGCAAGAACGTCATTAAATATGGGTAGTGGCAACTACTACTGTGATAATTATATGCGACCTTTTTTACAATCAAACGTATCCCGAACTTGAGATAGCTTATACAGGAATGGTTCTTTGTCAAAAAGAAAGTATTGAAAATTAAAATAACAAAAGAAATGAATAATCAAGAAAAGATAAAAAATAAAATTATGCTTTTGTGTGAAACAACTAACAGCTAATACAGAAAACCTGAGTATCAGCTGCATCATCCTGTTTTTAACTGGAATATGATCGCAACCGAAAACAACTATTAGGTAAGATAAAGGTGTTTTTTATTGTATTGGCTACTTTAGTAGTCTTATCAGTTTGAGCAGACTGACTTACAATTAGACGTTCAACTGTATGTCATTTTGTCTGGTTATGCCTTAATCTAGCACCATCTTATTTTATTTCCTGTGTTAGCATTGCTATGTATACCATACACGATATCTCAATCGCTTGGTGAAAGGACAAAGTATCCTACGTTCTGTGGTTAACTTACAATGATTGGAAAAACTTATATAGATATGTAGTTGTTCCTGAATGTCGGCATATATTAATTCTTGGGATAGATTTTTGGATCAGATTGAATGTAGTTGCTGGTTTGAGAGCGAAAAGATGGAAATTTAATACGGTTGAACCTCATGCGTAACTCTAGTTTTGATTTCCGAACATACAGCACTCTTGTATGATGTGATAAGAATGGGGTTTACAACCTTAGCATTTAAAAGCGGACACACTCATTTGGTTAAACAAAAAATTGAAGTTTTTGATGATATGAAGCCTGCAAACCAACGATTTTATCACCGGTTTTGATGTATTAGAAAAAGAACACTTACAATTGTTTAACCGAAAGTGTACTACTCACTATATTATTCAGAACAGTGTGCAAATGTTGTTAGTTTAGTGCTAAATAAAAGTTGCGAGGTCCGTGTATTTCATATAAATCTAATAATCTAAATTAACCAAAACACAGCGATTTCTAAATTCTTGGAAAACCCATCTGACCCTAGACCATCAGTTTGTACCCAATTATATTAAAAAATGTTAAAATTCTTATATATTAAAAATCGTCACATGTGAAGACTTCGAAATTGGGGCTCTGACAATTCTGACAAGAGAAAGGGCTAACCTGAGTACTTAGTACTGTCCAGAAACTATATATTACCTAGACTTTTCTTCAATAAAATCACATAATGCTTTATTATTAGCAAAGACAAACTGAAAAGGACAAATATTGCGACCATTTTACAGATATTGTACATACATACACTGCTTTACACATTTTCATAACTGATTATTATGTTTAGAATCTAAGCACCCTGCATATTAGGAAATGGTCAAAATTGGTCAACTAGTAAATTCTGTAATTACAGTTGAAAAAACTTGGCGTAGAAACTTCTGGTTTCAGCAGGATGGCGCTACATGTTACACATCGTGTGGAACTCTCAATAATGGAGATATTGCGTGACTGCCACATTCCGATTTAACCGCAACTACATTTTCTTTTGAAGGGACATTTGAAAGCAAAGTTAATATTAATCGCTCATAAAAGACTTAAAGGCAAATATTCATGAAAATTCTTAAAGTGGCAATCACTAAGAAATGTTACAACAGTATGTGGTACAATAATATATAAATTTTTATAGACCAGGTACAAAACAACAGAATAGATATAAAAACAAGTACGAGGTACAAGAAAATACAAAACAAACTTTATCAGAGATTTTCATTATCTTAGGAGGTGATTACTAGGAATATCGGTCCATATGCTTATGAAATGCGATTTTAGCCACAGTAAGGTTAGATGCCAACATACAGGTATTTGGATTAGATGTCCAAATATCGTGTAGTTTCAATGGACAACCTTGCAATTTCATTTTCGTTGGGGAGGCCATAGACAAAAATCATATCGACTGTTCCAGCATTGGAAGAATTCCATATTTTCAATAACAATCAAAAGCAATGAAGTCACTGACAGTTTGCAGAAGCAGAAAAAACTGTAAAAACCTATTATGCACTTTCGTGATATTATATCTATCCAATTTAAAGATTGTAGACATCTTACCATACGTTCATACGTTGATCGTTGACGATGGTCAAAATCGACAAAACCCTTTAAAGTTCAACATAATCAAAAGTGTAAAAAGAATATCATAATCAATTCACTGCAACTTGCAATTTATAATCCGTTAATCGGTAAGGATTAATATTGTTAATGATTATCTGAAAGATTTCTCGTTAGAGATTCCATGAAAAGTATGTATAACAATTTAAAGTTTGAGTTCGGTGCTTCTTGCTCAGGAGGAATACCGGGTGGTTCACTTTCTAATAAACTAAAGACAGTTGATTTTATTAATGTCTTTTTTATACCCTCTACATCGATTGTTAGAAATATTTTATCAACAAAAACTCAAAACCAGAAACACGTTGAATCCGAGTTTGGAGTAAATTTTGTTTGATAATGTTTGCCATCGACTTGTAAGCGTGTACTAGTTCATTCCAAATAATTTATCCTGTTTCAAAATATTTATTGCTGATAGTAGATCTTTCCCTCAAAATAAAAGTGAAAATTTTCTGAAAAAGGATCTTATGGATGTAGAATGTCTTTATATGAACAGTAAATATCATTTCTGAAAATATTTCATTTAATTTATGAAGGAACTCGACGATGACTACACTGAGGATTATCAAAAATGAGCTGCCTCCGACTTTATAAGTTCTGAATTTGCAGTGTACTGTGTAGTTATTCTCATGTTGTTCATCCCTGTTGGCATAAACTTTCATCTTAGAGAACATGATCCATGTCTTCTTCCTTAAACATTTTCCACTATTTCGCAAAAACTGTGCCTAACAAAGCAAAATCCTTTTCATATACATAAAAATCTTCCATTTCTTATTAATTAAATTATCAGAAGTTATTATAACAAATACGAAATGTTTTTCACACATTCTAATTTTGTTTTTAAATTAGTATGACACAACAATTTAAAAAAGTGATTATTGAATGTATTTGAACTGTTTTATGAATTTGGAACATTATGCAATAGATGGTACAACAGATATAAAACAATAAATTAATGTCCCATATCTATTATTAAACATAGACTCAAAAATTTTACCATAAAATTTGATCATATACGATTAATCTTTATTGCTTTTGTTGGCAATAAAACCGAAATTTAGCCATAAAATACTCCCCCATGGCGCAGTTTTTCGTATAGATTATTTTCTAGTTGTAACCAGTCGTCCGGGGTGGAAAGAAGAAAATCAATGTCTTGATGTGTTTGTATCGGTTGCTCCTGGAAACATTTTCGTGCTTTAAAGTACGCACCCTCTTTCTGCAAAAAGGGGCGTAACACCACAAAAATCCACGTGTATGTACGCAGCGTTTAAAGGGTCGCACGATATACGACAATTATTGATAATCAATTAACGCTTACTCTAACCGGTAAGCATAAGTGGTTGTCCAAACTTTTCACACCTTAACAGAAAACAAAAAGAGATTTCTGTAAATATGTTCACCTTTTCAGTTTAATTTAATCGTTATGAAAAATGTTAAAAAGATGCAGAAGATATGAATTTAGTCAATTATTAAAGTATTGATTACAAATCATTTTAATATCAATATTAAAAAAAGATGTTTATGAAAATTTTTAAATTAAAATTGGCAATGGTTTTTAGATTTGAGTATATCATGAAAAAAATTAATCTTCATTCTCCACTCGAACTCTTTTGTCAGAACACGAATAATGTTGTATTTTTCTTTTTGAGCAATGAAACTGGCTAATTACCTTTGAATAGGCTCTGAGTAGCAAGACATTCTTGGTCAAACACATGCATTTTTGGTCAGTGTGTAAGTTCATATAATTTCATTGCTGCATGCTATCAATTTACTCATTCTTTTACATACGTTTTACTAACCAGGTGTAAGTTCTCAACAGTTTGAGTCCAAAACTTACACCCATAATTACAAAACGTGATTTCAGTGTTTCTAGTCACGTATTCCAGTGGTTTCTTTTACTTCTGTTCACGTTTTTATCACAAAGTTACGATTTGGAGATCATACGATATATGACCTGATGTACTAGGTAGTGGAAATCAGTTTCTTATGATGATACATAATAAATCTGTTATTGTAGTAAATAAAATACTATTTAATATGGATCATGTTTGTTTAGACATAATAGACAATGAAACGCAATAATTTTATAGAATTCTTAGGTTGCCATTTGTTTGTGAATCCGGAGTTCTGATTACTGTACCTAAATGATGCCAAATTTGTGGATAAAAAGGGACATTCTACAAACTGTTGGATAGTTTGTGGAACAAAGAAGTTTTTTCTATATTGTTCAATATTTCTAATGGGCCGGAAATTAAATTTTTTGTCTTAATAAAATTGTTTCATACACCCAATTAGTGAAGGCTACCCTTTTATCTATAAACTGCAATAAAGACAAAAGTTTTTTTGTATTTTGTCAATAATAGATGTGAGGAGATTTTGACGTTGGTGTAAAAGAACCACGAATGATATGGTCATCTTTTGACATGGTGCGAAATACACAAATTTTCTATATAGTTGTCAAAATATGCGTCCAGAACATATAACTATTTTGCATTAAATTGCTGACATAAATACTAGCTCAGTGTTCATTATTAAATATGTTGCATTATTTATAAGTTCTTTAAAACAAATTATGTCTTTGTTTTTCTTATTAAAGTCAATTACTTATAAAATCTTAGATTTTTCTAATTGTAATATCTTTTACTTCCCATCTTTCCCGTAAAACACAAAAACTAACTTCTTTGGAATCTGTACAAAAATATCTAAGACATTTTTGCAAAATTTATCAATATGATTGACACAGTTTATGTAGTCGTAAACCTGAGTCACTACTTTACTCTTCTCAATGTATTAAAACTCAACGGAACAAGTCGTTGTCGGAAAAGTTATAATTATAATGATTGCCTAGCTACTACTGGAAATAAATCAGTTTTCTCCAAGACGTTGAAGTGTTAAATCTGTTAGAATTTGAGTAATAATAATTGCATAAGCTAGCTTCCTCATTAACCCTTTGTGTCCCAAGAAGTCAAAAATTTTGAAACTTTGTGACAGAATTAAAACGCTATCAAAATACACTCAGTAAAGGCCTTTGAAATCAATTTTAGCAAAATATGCAATCCCCCTATTCCAGGGGGATAATGGTACTTGAGAGTACCCCATCAGGCATTAAAATATATTTCAGTGATCTTGCAATAATCAAAAACTTTTATTGCCAATATAAAAATAATACATTTTTTATTACGTTAGAAAATAAGTAACACTTGCTTTAGCTAAAGCACATTATGATATTCAGAAAAACAGATCTTTCTTTCATTATAACATAAATAAATATAGCACGCAGTACATTTTGAGTGGGGTCTAGCTTTATCAGAACAGTTTTCACAATTTTCTCTTTCTTTTGAACTTGCGGTACGACATTTCGTGGACGTAGTGAATTTGAATATTTATTTATCAGACCTGTATCATATTGAGTTAAAACTTACATATTCGTATAATCTAAAAGTGTCAAAAAAGATGCTAATTCAAAAATTCCTGGAAACCGTGTTTATTGAAATTAAGAAATGAAACTTATTTTAAATTGAAGCTTAAAGCTTTCTGTTTAAATCGCTGTATAATAATCGTTGGGTTGAATTAGAAAAATATTGAGAAAAAGAGTATTGAGTTAAAACTAACATTTTCGTATAACCTAAAAATTCAAAAAAAAATGCTAATTTAAAAATTCCTGGAAGTCGTATTTATTGAAATTAAGGAATGAGACTTATTCTAAATTAAAGCTCAATGCTTTCTCTTTAAAATGATGTATAATAATGATTATGTTGGATCACAAAAATATAGAGAAAAAAAATGTTGAAATAAAACTTACATTTTCGTATAACCTAAAAGTGTTAAAAAAGATGCTAATTTAAAAATTCCTGGAAGCCGAGTTTATTAAAATTAAGGAATGAGACTTATTTTAAATTAAAGCTCAATGCTTTCTTTTTAAAATGATCTATAATAATCGTTGGGTTGGATCGGAAAAATTTTAAGAAAAAGAATGTTGAAATAAAACTTACATTTTCGTATAACCTAAAAGTGTCAAAAAAGATGCTAATTTAAAAATTCCTGGAAGCCGTGTTTATTGAAATTAAGGAATGACACTTGTTTTAAATTAAAACTCAATGCTTTCTTTTTAAAATGATTTAAAATGAGTGTTTAAAACTCCCGGTACTTTAAAGTACAGTCGTGACACAAAGGGTTAAGGTTCTGTATAGAATTTAATTGATTTGGTTGTAGTTTAGTTATCAAATATGTTCGATTCGCTCATGTTAAATATTTCGGATGCAGCATGTTCAAAGCGTATACTGGTATGTTATTTTCATGGATTTGTTATTGATATAATAGATCCTAAATATACAATACACAGTAAACCCTTACAGATTTTCAGAAATATTGCTGCTTTTGTACCTATGCGACAGCCGTGACAGTAAGAACCACTATACAGTCAAGAAATGGCCTATAAGAAATTCATATGTTGCTGGAAAAGAAAATGTGAAAAATATTTCATTCATTAAGCCCGACAAAATCTGTTACCTTCACCAAAGTAATACCGTAAATACCAAAGAAAATGTGACGTAATAAACAAAAACTGATTTTATCAATGAATTCAGCATCTTAAAATTGGTAAATTCCACTCATTTGCAAAGCAGATGCAGAAAAAGAGTATAAATTTGTTGACTAGTGTAATTAGTACTGATCGAACTTGGTCAAGTGTCAAGTTTTTCTTACATCAAACAACAAAAAACCAGACAATGCGGTGGAAGTACCGTGATTAATGTAGATTGCCTTCAAAACTGATCAAATTAATAACCATCAACGTTTGGTCACTTAATCTGTAGTTGTTTAAGCAAAAATGCGCGTGGCTGTAACACTGAATATTTTATAGGAATGTTGTTAAAAAACTTCTGAGACTTATGTAGAGCTCGGATTTTTATGCAGTCAAATTATAGGAAATATGCGCATAAATATGCAAGCTTTTTATTCAAAATATGCAAAAAATATGCAAAAATATGTGGAAATATGCAAACATATACCTTTCTTATAGTTGTTATTAATCTATTTTTATCACATTTTTGTATATGTTTTGCACTTTTCACATGTTGTTCTATTTATTTTCTTCCTCTCACAAGTTATTTTAAAAAAGAATAATTAAAAAATTAGCCATAGATACTCTAACAGATGAAAATTTAATTCTAAACATATTCCAAGAAGATGGGACATCAAATTTAATATAGTTTTATTTAGTTTTAATTTAACAGTTTTCCATTTTTTTTAACTCCTAGTGTAAAAGTCTATGAGACATATAATTTCGGAACAAACCATTGGCAACTCCTCTGAAAACTTTAATTTTTAACTTAAATCTTTTTCGAAACGCTACGGCATAATTTTTAAAAAAATACTTACAACTTTGGCACAAATTTTACAAAATAATTCCTCATTATTTAAATTTAGTTCGGGATAACTTTTTATCCACTGGGACACAAGACACGATATCATTTTAAGCATTGTTGTTATAGATTGGTAGATTAATGTTCACTCACACTGAACACCGCCACAGTAACTATGGTTGGAGATTTCCTTAAACTTAAACTCAACAATCAAAAAAATTGTAAAAATAAGCAAAATATGCAATTTTTTATTGTGCCATCTGCCTTATTTTTATGTAATTAGCCCAGAAACCAATTTTGAAAAAAATATTCCAGAAAATAAAGAAGATGCATTTTGCATAAAATCCGAGCCCTAGTCTTATGCCTTCAAAATGATTTCGGATGCAACTTACTAATTTGCTTGTATACAGATATTGAGGAAAAATAAATTTATTTTTCAGGAAGTATCTTGTCTCGGTTCCTTAGCGTAATTTCGTATACGCTTCAACTATAGTAATAATAAAGAATAACTTTGAAGGCTTGAAAAAATCTTAGAGTTTCTTAAATTTTTGTCTTCGTCGTTGTTTTTTGTATTGATTGATATTGCAATTATTGTCATCTTATACAAATATAGACGTGTACACACACAATAATATTTAGACTGGATTGGGAGAATAAAGGCATAAATATTGACGGTCGAAGACTAACAAACTTACGTTTTGCGCATGACATTGTGTTGACTGCTGATAATTTCTAACTCTAACTCTGATTATCTCGGTGACATTAACTGATGCTGCGAGAGTTGAACCTACCAATGTCTAAAAAGAGAAGTGTTCGATCAGTGGGTGCTGCCGGTCATGACCTATGGGGCTGAAACGTTGACTTTGACCATAACATCTGCCCACAGGCTTAGAACAACACAACGTAAAATGGAAGATTAATGCTCGGAGTATCGCTAAGAGATCACGTTAGAAATAAGAACTTGCGCCGCAGAACAGGCGTTACAGACGTCATTTCTCGAATCGCCAGACTTAAAAAGAACTGGGCTGGACACGTAGCCCGAAGAACAGAAGAAAGGTGGACGAAAAGGCTGTTGGATTGACAAACGGAGTAGTGGGAGGCCACCAACTCGATGGTCGGATGACATCAAGAGATTTGCTAATAACTGGATCAGGCAGCACAGGACAGGAAGAAATGGGCGGAAATAGGGGAGGCCTATGCCCAGCAGTGGACACAGAGGGTTGAGTGATGATGATGAACAATATTTTTTCATAGTAATCCATAGAGCATCTTTTTCTAAGCGTTCTAAGCTATTAAGAAGGGAAGATTCCTTTTGTACGAATTATTGGTACAGACATGGAAGATCCGATTTAAATAAAGATGTATTTAGGACATATCTAAATGATTAAAACCTCTATTTACCTGATAAGTTATGCATCCTAGGATAAATTAGAAACCTTTTGTTATGGTATTCCTAGATCATAACTGGTTAGGATTTAAATATGAAATTACATTTCGATTTTCAATTACGTTTTACATTAACCCTAAAATTTACTAAAATACCTGGGTTTGTTAAAAATTGGTAAATCACTATCTACCCACTGTTATTTTCGTCCATTTCCCATACAAATAAAAGATTAGAAGCAGTTTCTATGAAGATATAAACCAAAATTTTATAGAAATCTTTAACAAATTTTTCCATCGGCACACTCTACACATAAAAAAATGGAATTGGAAATACTAAATTCATCATTATTAATTTGTTCAAATTTAAATTATTTAAAAACTTGGTTGTACATTTCAAAAAAATTGTCTTCTGTAGAAAATATTGCTGAAAATTCACAGTTAATTCTAAACGTTGGGAATAATCCACCTTTACTTTGCAGCGTATGGAACATTTTTATTTTCTTCATCATCGATTTGCAAGAAATAGAAGCATTCTTTAAAAACTGGAAATGTTCGTGGTCAAGTAGCACAAAATTTCTAATACATTCACCGGACACAATTCAGATTGAAGATTTATTTCAACTTCTCTACAATTTCTTTATAATCAACGTAATCGTAGTGCATCAAAACACCTTATTTTCATATCAACCTCTCGAAAGTTGTGGTCAAAATATTTCTTCAACGATTTATAATACTACATGTGATGAATTTTCGAAAAATAAACCAATAAGCAATTATTTTAATTGTACTTTAAAGATTTTTGCTGTTAACATACAACCTTACGTAATAAATGTTGATGATAACAAAAATCCTGGATATGAAATTGTATTATTGAAAGAACTTGGAAAAGAATTGAAATATCAAATTGATTTTGTCCCACATAAAGAACTGAATTGGGGTGGAATATTATTTAATGGAAGTTTTACAATGTTATATAAAAGATTATTTGAAAAAGAAGTTGATTTAATAATTGGAATGGTGATGGCAAATGAAACTTATTACAAAGATTTTTCACCAACAATTCCTTACAGTAACGCATTTTTAACTTTCTACACACCTTCAGCACAAAAAATAGCTGGTTGGGAAACTTTTATATTAATTTTCGATCGAACCACATGGATTTTACTTATAATTTCCGGACTTTTTATCACCGCAACGTGGTGGTTAATCACTAAATACGAAAATAATTCAAACGATGAAACACTTATCGATAGCGCATTCAAAATATGGTGCATAATTTTTTCTGCATTTAACACACAACCAAAATTAATATTACTCAGATTATTATTCGTGTTATGGGCTATGTATTGTTTTATCATAAATTGTACGTATCAAAGTTTGTTAATTTCGTTTCTGACGAAACCTACTTTCGACACGCAAATCACAAACGTCGATGAATTACTCAAAAGCGATTTAGAGTTGGGTGGATTTTGGTCGTTACGAAACGTTTTTTATAACACCGGCAACTCACAATCCGATTTGGTCTATAAAAAATGGATTACGTGTCCATTGAACGAAGAATGTGTTAATCGAACGGCGTTTAAAAGAGATTTTTCCGTTTTTAAAAATACAAAACAAATAAATTATTTAATGGATAGTTATTATACGGAGTCGTCAGGTCGATTAAGGTTGTATCAATTCAAAACGTTAACGATTTATTTTATTTGGATGGTTTTTAATAAAAATTTTCCTTTACTTGATCGATTTAATGAGTATTTGTTACGAATGACCGATTCTGGACTTATATTAAAATGGGATAAAGATAGTCAGCGTTATGAAAGAAATAGTTTGATTACTGATGAATATCAACCGTTTTCTTTGGATGATTTAAAACTTTGTTTTGTTGTTTTATGTGTTGGATATGTTTTTGCTATAATTGTGTTTATTTTTGAAAGAAAATATTAATTATTTTTGTCTAGTAAAAGTTAACAAACGCTATAAATATAATTATTGTATTATTACTTAATAATGGATGTTATATCCCAATATACTATAACCGTATCAGATCGTTCATCGTACAATTCAAAGCTTTTAACAAAAGCTAGAGCTATCTAATCAGATTAGTGTATACATATTGAGTATCTAACACGTTTGAACGTAGGATAATATAAAACATATTATAATGATGTTGATTAGAATAAACAGAACAACGCACATAAACATCAAAATGAAACATGTATGCATTGAAATCGTAGAGTTTGCGATGATATCAAAGATTTTGTAAATTGATATTGTTTAACAATAAGATAAAGAACATATAAGTATTAGTCGGTAAATATGGATACAGTAATTATCTACAATATAGAATTTGAATTAGAACAGACTAAATTAAAAAGATAACTACAACAAAAAAGTTTATTAAACAGATGATTGTAAGTAAAGATTCGTCCAACGAACTGATATTATATTGCAATAAAGAATATTATGCAAAAATAACATCTATTTTTTTTATTTTTACTGAGTTTTTTACAGTATGTAATAGTGGTTTAATGGATATCCGGCAACTATCCGGTATCCGGCCCCTCCGGCCATTTTTTTAAATCTGGCTTTGGCCGGATATTAAAAATGTATTACTTAGTACTCCACCATTCACAGGAATTAGTATCTCTTTTAGGTTTTGGACACTGCAGATAATAATCAAGTTCAAACCCAATATTACTTTTTTCATTGAATACCACTTTATTTATATCAGGTTTGTCATTAGCAACTTCATTGTAACAATACCAATACGATATATAAAATCTCTTGTTGCAGTTTCGTCTAGTTTTCTTCTCTTCGCTGGTAATTCATCATCACATCACATTCATTACTAAACAGAACTGTCGCTGTTATCACTTTCGATAATTAATTAAAGTATCCTCTTTATAATGCAAAAAGCCGTTTTGAAAAATGACATTCAGTTCTTGAAAAAGAAATTTTTGAAATGATCGACAATTTTTTCGAATTTTGCAATTTTCGCCGATTAAGTTTTAAAAATTCGTATAAAATCCAGTTCTTGGAATATGAGTATGAAAATTTCCCAAAATGTTAATAAAAGTGTCTTCTTTCCAATGAACCAACTGGTTTTGAAAAATCACTTTTAGTTTTTGAGAAAATAATATTTGAAGTTTTGATAAAATTTACGATGTTACAATTTTCATCGATAACTTTCAAAATTCGCTATAAAATTAATTTCTTGAAGGATCACTGTGGAAATATCACCAATTATTAATTATAGTATCCTCTTTTTAATGCAGAAAGCCGTTTTGAAAAATAGTTTTTAGTTTTTGAGAAAACTATATTTGAAGTTTTGATAAAATTTTCGATGTTGCAATTTTAGTCGATAACTTTCAAAATTCGCTATAAAATTTATTTCTTGAAGGATCATTGTGGAAATATCACCAATAATTAATTAAAGTATCCTCTTTTTTCATGCAATAAGCCGTTTTGAAAAATAACGTTTAGTTTTTGACACAACAATATTTGAAGTTTTGATAAAATTTTCGATGTTGCAATTTTCATCGATAATTTTCAAAATTCGCTATAAAATTAATTTCTTGAAGGATCATTGTGGAAATATCACCAATTATTAATTATAGTATCCTCTTTTTAATGCAGAAAGTCGTTTTGAAAAATAGCTTTTAGTTTTTGAGAAAACAATATTTGAAGTTTTGATAAAATTTTCGATGTTGCAATTTTAGTCGATAACTTTCAAAATTCGCTATAAAATTTATTTCTTGAAGGATCCTTGTGGAGATATCACCAATTATTAATTATAGTATCCTCTTTTTAATGCAAAAAGCCGTTTTAAAAATCTTTTTAGTTTTTAAGAAATAAATTTTTGCATTAACATATCTTATCAGCTTTCTTATTATTTTTATTTTTATTCAAATATCGCAATAATGTGGCAATATAGGGTATCACTTCAGAAATACACCAGAAATTATAACCATAATGGTCGGATAGGTATGCCGGATAACTGGATATCCGGCCGAAGGGGATGCCGAATATCCGGTATCCGGCTTTAAGCAAATTCACTATCCGTTCCATCACTAGTATGTAACAATGATACCCCACCCCCAATTCAATCAAGCTTTGTAAGTAAAATACTCACATCTCTTCAGGTTGCATATAGAAAAGCGTTTATTTATTATAATAAATAAATAAATTAGTGTCAGAAAGTATTATTTTTATTTTATTAAAAAACTTACATTTTTGTGATAAAGGGTTTTCTTTTATTCTACTATCCATTTACTCCTCGAAGTATATCAGAAACGCAAGGAAAAATTTGTGGAACATGAAACGTTGATTATATTCATATTGATAGTGGAGTTCCTAAGAGCGACACAGCAAGCAACATGACATACATAGCAGGAGCAAGTTCATCAGAATCATAGAAATCAATTAAACCATTACGAACTGACAGCTGTAACAAGGTAAATTCAAATCCAATTATATTGAAAAAACGGGAACAACACTATCCACAAGAGCTCAACGAAAATAGGCAACAATACTTGTCACAATCATCAACTAATTATTATGTTCATAGCCAATAAAGTTAGAGAGGCGATGGTTTGGAAGATAATTAAATCAATGAAGAATAGAAAAGCTGGAGGTGGGAAGACGGAAATCATCATCAACAATTTGGGACATTAATAAATGGAGAAACAATAACGGAAATTTGGAAAGAGTCATCACGCCCATTCTTAAAAAAGAAAACATAAATGAGTTCCAAAACTGTAAGTGTAATTCAGTGACCAGTAGCTTTAGCAGAGTATACGGTAATATATTAAATAACATCAATCCGGTTTCAGAGCTGTAAGGTGATGTGTGGATAAAATTACTAGTATACATAAAAAAAATGAGAAAAAGACAGCTTGTACCCAACACTCTTTAAAATTTATCTCAACAAAGCACTGATTGTTGATGACCAAGTAATGACTATTTGGTCATCAACAATCATAGGATAAAGAGAATATGAAATGTATTTCAAGGAAATTTTGACTTATAACTTTGTAAACTATAAGAAGACTAAATATTGTATGTGACTAAATATGTATTGGAGGATAGCAAGAAAAGCTAAGAGTAAGAAATGGTCTTGAAATTGATGCCTGTGACGAATATAGTTATTTGGGAACACAAATGGAATAGGTAAAGGCAAAAACAACAATTAGATATCTAAAAAGAAACGGTATAACGGTATATATTCCACAGTCGTTAAAAGCATCGTCTTAAATAAAAGTGAAACTTGAATAATGCCAGAACAAAGAATTACAAAACTTGCTTTCGAATGGGTACCCACAGAATGGAAGAGCGAGAAAGACCAAAAGTTACCTGGATAAGCAGCATTCAGTTAACATATAGTATGTTGATGTTTTATTCATTTATACATTAAGTAATTCTAATAAACGATGGAGAAAATCTTAATGGTATGTAATGGATAAATGTTTTTCAATAACAAAACCTACCAAGAGTTAATATATTTAGATAGAAACAACTGATGTGAAATGAATCTCCAAAGGAAGGTGAACAATCGAGACTTCTAATTTCCAGAAATAAAAATCAGCGTCATTCCGTGGGACTAAGTTTGAAATCTTTATCATTATTGAAAACTTTAATTTGCTAACTGCACGCAATAAGAACTCCACTACCTATTCTTCTGTCCACAACACTACAATTACGATCATTCCTAATTACATGAAATATATAGGTTATTAAAACTTCAAAAAAATTATAAAAACTTATTTATAAGTCGGTTTAAAGCGTCTTCTGATTACTAGTCTCCACTTTCCTTTGTCTATCCAAAGGTCCTCTTCTATTTCCTTCTTCTTCTTTTGGGTTCTTTTGGGACATTCTTTGCACATATCCGAAGCAATTCCCATAATATATGTATTACTCTATGTGCTACTCATTTCTGTTGTCTTTAAGATTTCTCCGGTTTTCCTTTATATTTAATGCTTTTCATTATAGTGTTATAGATTTGGTGTTTATTCTTGTTCAATATGCCTTTATCCCATAATATCCATTATCCCATAATATCCATTATCCCATATACCATTCATCATAACGATGGCTCTTCTACCTTGTGTGTTTCTACCTTTTATGGGGCACGTAGTGTTCCGTCTATGGTTATTCAAACAAATATCAAAATTTTTGTACTTGCTGGTACATTTTATGCATTTCCCATTATTTAGGACAAGGTCCTTCTGCACTTCTCCCACACACATTTATATATATGAATATTAACTTAATCAGGCTCCACTAACTGTATTTTTCTATGAACTTCCTAGTCATGTATTCCAAATCTTGATGGTTCTGTGAGATTACTATTTGAACGTCGACAGAATGTAATGTGTAGATGATGCTGCCGTTTAGCGTTGTATACTATTTTTGTGCTTAATCTGGATATATTTTGAACAAGATCATGGAGAGACAACACACCAGCTTGAGTCTTTTAATAATGTAGAACCAATTCGACAGTCTCTGTCCCATCTCGATTTTAACTGTTGCTTGTTGATATAAATTTTTTACTACCTTTATTATGGTCGCACGGATATTCGTTCTTCGATTACTGCCTCTCACTCGCTTTGTGGGATGCTATCATGTCTATAAACACTATAAAAGAGGTGGTCTATTGTTGATGTTCCAATCCGGAATCCTGCCTGCTCCTCTTCTTCCATATCTGTACTCAACATCTATTTTCTTGGCCAAGATCTTGCCATATACTTTATATAGCATGCTCATCATTACTATTCCTTTGTAGTTATTACAGTTTTGTTTGGCTCCCTTTCTATATATGATGGATATAATAGCTGTGTTTGATTCTTCTAAAATTGGTTTACCATTAAGGCAGTTCTGGAATAGTGTCTCAACTTGTTGGAATAGTTTTGTTGTTGCATAGTTTTTGTTATCTATGTCCATTGTTC